ACAGCTCCGCGCGTGCCGGAGACGGTGGACGATGTCGAGGTCGACCAGGGCGCGTGCGAGAGCATCCACGAGCACGTCGCGAGCATTTCGGCCGAGCTGAGGGACGGGGCGGTGGACAAGCGGCAGGCGTGCTTCCTGCCTGTGGTGAGCACCGGTGGGGGGCCGATCGTGGGCGAGGCCACTTCCATCGCGAAAGGCCTGGTGATTGCGACGGGGCATACGTGCTGGGTTGGTATCCTTGCATTACCGGCACCGCTGCTGGCCGCCACAGACGTGTTTTCTGACTGGGGATTTTTGCAGGGCATATGCAACGCGCCGGGCACCGCGAAAGCAGTAGCGGAGCTAGTGATGGAGGGAAAAATCAAGTGCGCGAACCTGAAGAACCTGCAGCCAGGACGCTTCCTCTGATTGGGACGCGGGAAACTCCAGAGCGTTCCAGATATACGCTTGTCCGAAACGCTGAAGAACTTCTATCCTCACCCGACGCCGAATGACACGCATCCTGATTGGGGCACCCGTCCTTGGGTCATCATGACTCCCCTAGAGCGGGTAAACGTGTATTTTTTGGGCAACCGCAGGAGCGTCCTAGGGCCGATGTAGTAATTTTTACAAACTGTTTCAGCTCTCAGAAACAACATGCTTCCCTGACCCTAGGACAGATAGTTTCCCCACTATGGCAGTTTCTCTTAATTTATCTCACTGACGTTTAGAGCGCGCGCGCGCCCACCAGGACATCGTAGATACATACCATATATATTGTACGCACTTCACGACATCGTCACCGCGCACGGTGGCTGCTTCCTCGAAGCCGCTTTGATGCGGTACCGACGGTATGTTTGATCGACCGTGCACATATTACCTTTTCTAGGAAGTACGTTGCCAAGGGAGAGCTGCAGCATGTCGTCGGACACACTCATGACACATCGTTGACATATCAACCAGCTAATCATGCCATTTAACGCAAAGCATGAATCTGAAACTGCCAGCGTAGCAGGGCCAATCCCCGAGAGGGCGAGCGCGGCATGGTAGGTGATCAACGGCGTTACGAGAGCGTGCAGGGTATACGACTACTTGGAGCTGGGGCGTGCGGACATATTGACTGGAACGTCGGATTACAGCGTAGAGCATTACAGCAAGGGCGCGGCGGTACAGTAGATACTAGAGGTCCAGGTCAGATATGGGACATATGATACTTGTCGGTGCGTCCGTGTCGCGTCGGACATCGACGCCGTGTGCTTTACGTCGCCGGCGCGATCGTGTTAGTCGCTAAGCACTGGCACACTCGCGACTGCCGCCGCGGCGAGACGCAGCCGCTCGCGTATGCGTCTCGCCTCTGCGGTGACGTTCCATGCGGTGCGCACCAGGTCCACGAGCACGGCGTCCGCGGGGGCGAGCGCGAGCACGTTCGCCCACAGCCCCTGGTTGAACTTCGTGTAGAACTGCATCTCGAGCTCCGTGCACCAGCGCGCCATGACGTCCGCCATCGCCGCGGCGGAGGGGAACTCCTCGATGACGCGCGTGGGCAGCAGGTACGCGGCGAGCGTGCTCGTGCTCGTCATCGTGCGCGCGTCCGGGCCGCCGCTGCGTCGTCTGCCGCCAGGGGACCTGCCGCGGGGGGCCTGCGGGTCTGCGTACAAGTGCAGGCCGAGGCCATAGAGGAGGAGCAAGGGGACGGAGGGCGGGTGCGGGGCGGGCAGGGGGATCGTCGGGAGCGTGACAGTCTGTGAGTGCGCACGTTCACTCCAGGTCGGGACGGGCAGCGTCGAGCCCGTTGGCGAGCGGTCCGGGGCCAGCGAGGTGAGGTCTTTCGCGAAGCGTTCTGCGAATAGGTCTGCGTTGATGGGTATAGCGACGGTGTGGGGGGAAGGAGCGAGGAGCGCGCTCGGTGGCGCTGAGAAGGAAGGAGCGAGGGGGCTGCTGGGAGCGCTGGTGTTGAGGATAACGAGGGTGTGCGTGGGCATGTGTGCATCGCGGAGGACAGGCATGTCGATTGCTGGGGGAACAGCGCCGTCGGGCTGCAACGTGACGTTCGTCGGCGCAACATTGTATTCGCGGCATAGGGCCCTGCGCATCGCTCATGAGCAGGACCAGCGAAGTGCAGCGGATCGTGGACGACCTACTCATATGGGTCATCAAAGGGCTTCTTGAACACAGCTTGGGGCGCGGGGGATCTGCTGGCGCTCGCGTTGGCGCCCTGTGCATCCTGTGGGTGGCGAGAAGTGACTGGGGCTGGGGTCCATGGTGGCGGACGTAGCGCGCGAAGAGGTAGATTTGGTGACCGCGACCTTTGACGACGCGAGGGGCGGTACATAAGCGTACAACTCACGCCGATGGACGGACCTGAGACAGGCCGAATGTCCTTGCGGACAGGCCGTGTCTACGTCAGAGGGTCCTCAGTGGCTTGAGGAGATTAGTTGGCAGCAGCACTTACTGTCCAGCGTAGCGGTGTCAGGGAAGCGATGTGACAGGTAAGGCTGAGTTCTAGCATACCCTGCCCCAGCCTGTCCCTTGCCGCAACGAACAGCGTCGTGGGCGTACGAACGAACAAACGTACGTACGCGGGATGAGTCCCTGGCCTTGCCCGGCGGTTAGGAGTGGCGAGAGAACCGCAGCCGCGGCAGCAGAACGTCAAACTCAGCGGCTTTAAGGCTAATTTCCCTTCGACGCGCGCTGGCATGGCTGGCGTTAGCCGAAGGACGCGGAGAAGACCTGGAAAACTTCGAACGCGGGGTGAACCTTACTATTAGCCATCTACCGCTGACACTACGTCTGGCTAGCGCTCGCCTGACCCTGCCCTGCATGTTGGTGTCTGCCATCCACCTTGATTCCCGAGCGCAATGGTGTCATCTCTGCATCTGCTGTGTTAATCATTGGAATCGATGGTACCGGCAGGCTGTGGTCAGCGAAGATGCTGCGACTCGGATCTCCGTGATCAAGCTATTATTAATCCAAAATCCAAAACGTCGACTTGTTGGCCTCAGGCTGGCATCTATAAGCCACCTATAGCCGCCGCCTACCGCTTCTTGGCCACTAAGGTTCGATGATTCTGGCCTCGTCCACAGAGTGATGACCAATCGAACGGTGTGAGAGGACTGCGCTTGCATCTTTGTACCACCACTGTGGCATCCTTGCCTTGACGGAGATTCCCATTGGCCGTGAAATCTACAGAATAAAGTTCGCGTCACGTAAGTGAGAGAACGTACCTCGTTCTTCGCGCCCAGAGAAGGCGCTCTGATAGAATCCTTGTGCCCTTTATGGCCACCGCCGAATAGAATATCCCTAACTCCACATGGCCTTGTCCAGAAAGCCCAGACATGATGTGCGCGGCCACCCAGCGCCGTTCATACAACTCTAACGCTCCGCCCAGGATCTCAGCGCATATCGGCGGCCCTGCGACGCCGTGCGGCCGCGGACGGGCGGGCTCTGATCGATCATATACAAGTGCTTCGAATCCGGATGATCGGCGGCAGCTGCAGGGTCGCCCCGGCCAACTTCCCAACTCGTCTTCACCGGTGTAAGGGTCGCACAACGATCGTTGACTATTATGCACCTCACCGCCAGTGAAAAATGCGTCTGAGCAGAACGGGGGAAAAAGAGGCGGATCTAATCCAACTGAGCCAGACGGTGTACATCGACTCGGAAATTGATCGAGAGGCTATTTTTGTCTGATCACACGCCGGTGTTGCATGATGCAAACACTTCGTGCACTTCAAAGTCCCACTTGACACAGCAATTTGTCTTGTAAGCTCTAATCATGTCACCTATATACGCCGCACACCTTGTCTCTGTGCACAAAACTAGGTTCAATCATGTGACTGCGTCCCCTGGCCGCGCGTCGCATCCTACATTCTTCTCTCTCTTGCTACCACAGTCAAGCACAGACTCGGCAGAATCCTATCCCTCTACTTGTAAGACCTGTAGTAAGCATTAAGGACAACTCACCTTGCATCTACACCCGACGAGCCCCCTACAATATCCTCTTCGTCACGGCAGCCATGTGAGTAGATCGCATATAATAGGCCAGATGTGTCTTGACGGGGAACGAGTGACGTTGTATCTAACAGTGTCCCGTCACTCTACAGGAGGTAAGCGTATGTACATTACAAGGGGAAATTAGGAAGCGCTTACGAGCTTCAGTAAGATGGAAATATCGGCTGAAGCTCGCATCGAGAAACAACTAGCATACAGCGTGTGGTAGTGCAGTGAGTCATCATCATTCACTACGGTAATTGGGCTAACCGAAGAGGTTCAAATATAGTGCGGTTTGGGAATGCCAGGAATGCGATAATGTCGCGCTGATCCTGATGTGATGTCGCGGTGTCATGCGGGCGCGCGGTGAACTTTTATATGATGTACACGGACATCTTGACTGACACGATTGCATAGTCGTGAAATGTCATTCCTTTCAGGTGAGTCATTATCAGCAAGTTTGACTGCGCATATAGTGACCCCATTTTCGAGATCAGTATGCTTTCCACCTCCATCCCTTGTATTGGAGGCATCTAGTTCGTACTCACATACTCCAGTCTCCTCTCCCAGTACTAGAGCCCTGGTGGGGCAGGAATGCTCATCAGTGCGTCTACTTGTTGCGAGTCCCCCTTGTCTGATATAGCTGACCCTGCTTGCTGTACTACACCTGATAGGTCTGTCATTCGTACACAAACACGGCCACGTCTTCTGTGCAGCGCCAGCTGTAACATCAGCAATCCTGAGATGCTGATGGAGGCGAAGATGAGAAGCAATGGTCAGGTTGAGAGTGAGCGATGGAGTGTCTCTGCGTGTGGTCAGTAGGTCGTCTAAGGACAATGACGTGTATATAAACAAACGGAGTGTATATGAATAAAGGAGTGTATATGAACAATTGGAGCGTATATAAACAATCGGAGCGTAGCGAGAATATTCATATAGCTTCATTCTGCCCCGATGTGCTTCGATGTGCCCCTCGGTTTCAGTCCAGAATTTGGAGGTACAGCGGGGTATAACGTGGTCTATCGGAAATTCTGACATCACGTCAATTGCTCAGATACACCACGATTCTCCTGGATCTGCTCAGATGCGATTTTGACTGGGCCTCACCGCCTGAGTTGCCGTGCGTACCTGGCTGGACTGCGTGTATTCGCCTTGCCACTTGGAGCATAATAGGCCCACAGACCATCGCCGAGCGTCTGTGGCCACCACTGTGGATATGGTTTCGATACATACGAGATCTGAAACTGACCTGGATGGAAGCCGCACACCATTGCCCACGACAGCCTGCGTGGACGCCCGACGTAATTATGAGGTGGTCTTCTCCCCTAGCGCGTGGGCTGTGGTGGCCGAACGTCGATACACGCGCTCAGGAGAAGGTGTGCCTAGGCGCGGCGATCATGAGCACATACATGTGAAAACATGCAGAGCTGTCGGCGGTCGATGAGTCAATTTCCAAACGTCGTGGCCAGTTTTTTTTTCCGCGGCTCAGACAGGGACAGAGAGGCGTCATTCTCGTAGTTGGCAACGACGACTCATTCATGCGAGCCAGGCCGCAGGTATACCGTACTTCACGTTCATTCCCGCAGGGTCTCGCCCAGGAGGCCCTACCACTGTCTTCGATGACTCAGCCCGAACCGTCAACGGGCTACTGCCACTTTCTGCACGGGGCTGTGACTATCCGTACACCTTCAGAGCTGTCAAACACAATCTACCCAGCTTGAGAACCTCAAGACACTAATGCAAATAGGAGAGACACATCCGCAACTCTGAAGACAGTCTTTTCAAATGGATGACACACGTTTCATACAGAGACGATGTACAGCAGACGAGAATGCATTTTTCTGCAAGCATTTCGTCAACCTTCGCAGATGACAGATCCGGACGTTTGGTATCCGAGAAAGGGAAACGTTTGTGGTAGGCCCCACCACGGAGTAAGCGGCCACGGCCAGTCTACCGGCTCCAGATTGTCGACATTAAAGTCCCGTTTGGGACAGCAGACCATGCATGCTAAGCCAGTACAGCAGGACGAGACGACTTATGAGCGAAGAGGACCTGAGACACGAAGCCTACCTGGCTCAGGAAATACGAGTCCCGACTTCCGCACACTACCTATAAAGTGTAGAAAAACGTACGTACAATAATCCTGGTTAGGACCCATGCCGGAATATACTTCCTGTCTACGCCCTTCTATGAGCCCTGACTCAAATACCACGGGCAGTGTTTAAGAATTTTAACACCAACGGTCGGATTACAGGTAGCGGAGTTATATACAGCTGCTCCCTTGTCAGCGACTGCGACATCTCAACAGCCATAGGACAGGTCATTACATGTACAGCAAACGAGAAGGCGCGTCTGACAGGGTGCTCAAACAGTGCTGTGTTTGTCACGTGCACCTGCGATTGATCGGGAGTTTGAAGCGCGCTGGACTTATCACATGACTCGTTGGAACTTCAAAAGATAACTCGAAAAGTCTATTGTATAAACACAGTACTAGACTTAACATATTAGACATAAGAGCATACTGTAATACCGAGGGAAACGGTCATAATGCTACATATTTTGTCCTTCTGTTCACTGCTGATAACTATACGCCACGATGAAATGTAGAACGAAATAAAAATGTGGACCCTAACCCAACGCCGCCTCATAACTGCGCCCGTAAAGGCGCATCCGCCTGCGAGGCGGTGGCGAGGGGCGCGCCGACGCTGATCGAGAGGGCATTGACGAGCACCTCCCATGCGAGATCGATGGCGACCCACATGCCGTCGTCGAAGATGCCCAGGGCGCAGACATTGAGCCACAACCCGCGGACCTTCGTCATCGCGTCGACGAGCGCGGCCGTGTTGTGTTCCCGCGCGAGTGCCCACGCGAACTCGGTCGCTGCGTCCTTGCCCTGCAGGTTGGAGGGCGGCGCCGAGGGGAAGAGGGCGGCGAGGAGCACGTCCACGCGCTTTGCGTAGATATATGAGGACAGGTGCGGGAAGGACGCGGGATCGGGCAGGCAGAGCGGGACGACGGGGACGGTGATGCGCGCGGAGGGCGAGGCGTCGGGCGCGCTGGGATGTGAGGACGGGAGAGGCGGGAGCGTTGCGCAGTTCGCGGCCCACACGATCGAGTGCGTGGGGTACATCGTGACGCGGCGACGGCCGCCGGTCGGCTGGCGCGAATAGACCGCGAGCATGTGTGTAGGGAGGTCGCTCGCGAGGTCTTGTACGAGGATGGAGAGCTCGCGCGGGAGCGTGTTCGTGCTGGTCGACGCCTCGACGCTGGTGAGGACCTTCACCATGCTGTGTGCAGAAGGTCAGAACGTTGCCCAATCGCGAAGAGGACGGTGTACGTACTCAGGGCCCAGCTCCGCCAACTTGTCCTGGATGTATTCGATCGGGAGGTCCGCCAGCTGCGGCTCGATCGATGCGACCCGGCTGTGCGGCACGGGCTTGAAGGTGGGGCGCGAGAGATGGCGGGGGAGAATGACGGTCGTCGTCGAGGTGGGGCGCGTGCCGTCCTTCATCTCGACATCCTTGGACGTCGACGAGGAGGGCACGGGGGTCGGGAAGGAGATGTTGATCGGCGGCGTGTGGGCGAGCTTGCGACGCTTGGCCTGCTCAGCCACATAGCGCTGAGCTCGCGGGCCGTTGGCACGGGCCCTGCGGCGCTGCGAGGAGCCGCGTATGATGGCGGCGGCGACAGATTGGCGGGCACCCTTGGCGGAGGACGACTCGGCGGCTGAGGGGCGGACGGAGACGTTCTCCACGTTGGAGGTCTTGCGGAGGACGACTGGCGAGTTGTAGACACCCATGACGACGCAGTGTGCGAGGAGGCTGGAGTGCGCTGGAGAGTTGCGGTCGACGGAGGAGCGGACTTGGACGGTCGGGATGCAGAGCCAGCTGCAGAGCCGGGGGGGGGCAAAGTTATATAGAAGCGGGGAAGGCGCGGTTCGGCGGCAACGTGACAGGCTAAGCGCAGGGGCGTGGGAGCTCGATTGGTTTTCGCCATTCTGGGCAAGGTTATGATTGGTGGGCGTGTGTTTGCATGCGTAGGCGTGCCGTTGCTGGACTTGCCCTGCATGGCAACTCTGCTGCTTGCTCTCGTCTGCCTCTGTGGGTCCGCACCAATCCCGGCTGCCTCGCCCGGCCCACGCCCACGCTCTTCGGCTCCCGGCGCCACGCCTCGCGGTCACCAGCCTGCTCTTGTCCCCGCGCGTAGTGACGCGTCGCGAAGGGCTGGCTATCGTCGCCCATTGCGGGCACGATGTGGAAACGCTAACAATGGCCACTTGCAGGCCTTCTGCGTGTTCCAGGCGTGGATAGGTGTGATTGAAGCCACACAGGGTGCTCAGGTATGTCGCTTTGCGCGCTTTTCGCTCGAGTTGGGACGATCTTCGTCCCGAGTGCGCTTTGCTGTGACGGGACAGACAACCCTTAACCCTCAAGCGTTCGTCGTGAGATGCATTGTCACTGCTATGTGGCGAACCCACAGGGTAACAATGCGTCAATCGCCGCGGAAACGCGACACTGAATCGTGCTCTTCTTGTCCTTGAAAAGGCCAGCTCGAAGACGGCTGCTTATCGATGCGACGGGAAGATTGGGGATCACACACGCTCTTATCAGCCGCCAAAGATCGAGTGCTCTCATTGGATAGCCGAGCGCGAATCCCAGAAGTCCGGGCACTGTCCCGCATCAGGATTGACGTGCTCCGGCAAGCTGCCTAGAGCTTGAATTCGGCTCGTGGCAAAAAAGCGTGATCGCGGACACTAAAGCTGTCTTCGTAGGGGAACGGGCTCTTCCCGTCGTGGTTGAATATCCATCTTGTCGCGGATTGGTAGCGTACTGGAATGCACGCTTTGCTAATCTTCTTCTCCTTTGACACTGGGCAGCTGCCTCTTAAAGTCACAGATCAAAACGATGGGCGCTTTGTGCGCTAACAGTGGTCCTCTTTGATCACATGTAGCGGAACATCGAGAGACACTATCGCGCGCCGGCGCCGCAAGCGTGTCAGCTAGCGAGACAAACCGACAACGCTAGGAGGTAACACAGTCGCAGGACACTGCAATAGGACAGTCCTCCAGGACGCCGCCGCCTGTGCGGTTGCGAAGTCACCCAGGGTTAAAGCGATCGCGGCACTTTAGGTAAAGCATCCTTTGATATGCACTCCCTTTTAACAAGATGCTCACTGTGTCTGGGGGCGGCGCAGACAGTACACGACTAGCCTCTTCAGTTTCAAGACTCATCGGGCCTAGTGCAGAACGGAGACATCTCCGATGCTTGAAGGCGTTGCGGCAACTGAACTTCAGCCGAGTGGGTACGTAGCGTCTCGCTCGTTCAACCTGTATGCGACTTGGCGTTGCGACGATCGAGTCGTGCTCGTGCACTTCCTGTAGACATTGCGCCAAGGCACATACGTTGCGAGAACATTGAGCATGAAGTGGAGCAGGCGCTTGTCGCTGCCAAGATAAGCAAAGCCAGCGAGGAATGGTGCAGCGTGCACGAAGAATGTCAAGTGTAGGCAAACGACACCCGCGTGAGCTCTTACAAAAAGAGCGAGCGAGAAGTGGGCAGGAATGAGGATCCCGGCGCTTCTTACTGTGCGATAGGAGCAAGCGCATGTCTGGTGAGTTGGAGCCTACTCGTAGAGGGCGTGGGCTGAAACGGGGTGTCAAGATATGATCTGCAGAGCTTAATATGCAATCGCAGTGAGTTTATTGGCGGTCGAGGCGCACTAAACAATTTAGGAGCACTCGAGGCGAGTCATGACGGGCTGTGCCTTGGAGTGTCGTCGGGGCCACACCGTGAGCAGGACACTGTGCGCTGTACGGTGCAGCCCGGGAGGTGAAGTACGCGGCAATTAGCAGGAAGTGGGTTGTGTGCGTTGCTTGATATGTCTGCAAGTCAGCTTACGGGGACCTCGTCGCAGGACAAGAAAGCGGGCGCTTGACGAATGCGCAGCAGTGTATTAGAGCGCGCCCAAGGGCAAGGCGCCGGCACGGCACATCGCCGAAGCAATGCATTTATAGAAGCTGTCATTCAACGCGGTCACGTGCCGCACGCGCCATGATGCAGAGGCGTGCAACTTTGAACTTGAACCACCGCCTTCTCCCCCTACGCGCCCCCGCCTCGGCTCCTCGCACGCAGCCCCCGCCTTACGACCGCCACGACCCCTGCTGCTGATTTCGTTTCCGTGTAAATAGCTTGCGCTTCGTTTTCCCGCCTCTCTTCACACCGCTTCTTCACATTTTGCTGGCTTGCAACTCCGCGGCACATCGGTTGCCGTGATGTCGACCACCACTCAGATCTTGTTCAACTCTCCCGCCTTGCACTCGCTCAAACGCGAGCAGCTGGTTAAACTCTGCAAAATACACTCCATCAAGGCCTCCGGCAAGAACGCCGAGCTCATCGAACGTCTCAAGCAGCGCGCACAGGAGCTGCCCCAGTCCGAAGACGGTACCCTGCACATCGGTGGGCTCACGTTCCCGAGCGACGTCGACGTGCCACGTTTCCAGATGCCCCGCCCCAGCGAACAGTGGGAGATCGTCATGGAGGACATAGAGGAGGTACAGGAAAGCACCTCGCTCGGCACGATATCCTCCAAAGGCAGCCTGCGCACGCAGGGGACTGCCGGGGAATTCGGTACAAGCAACTCAAAGTGTGAGTAAATCTAGATTGCAGTCTGATCATGTTTGATTTCGCCCCCCGATCTGCGGCGCGTCTATTCCTATTCCTCGTCGTGATCATAATCTGTACAATATCACAGAGACCCGCATGGTTCTCGACAATAGGCATATACGCATACATAGATCTTCCGAGTACTGTGACCGAAACAGATCACCATACATGTCCCCCGAAACTCCTAAAACCGCACACTGTGAATTGTGTCTGCTCACGAATGCGAACTGATTAACTATTCTCCAGCATCGACCGTAGGTACCTCCATCAAGGCACTTGCCACGTCTCTCGGCATTAAGCGTGCGACATCGACCAAGTCTTCCAACTCGGAACAACGCCCCCCCTCAATCTGGGATGGGTCCCGCCAAGACGAACTCACAAAGCACGCGGTCCCGTATAGCGAGCTGCCGCCAGCACCATCGCTTCCGCGGACCGATGCTGCTGTCGACTGGAATGCCGGCGCCAACGCCGATGGCGACGTGTCCATGTCGGCCCCCGTCCCGGGCAGCCCGTCGCGGCCAGGCGCCCCTGCCCCGGCGAACGCGCGGCTGAGCATGGGCAACAAGGGCGCCACGACGACCATCCGCCTCATCTCCGCTGCCCAGCGCAACGACCACGACGCCCCCGGCACGCCACAGCTCCCGCCGTTCCAAACCAACTTTGATCTCGAGATGGGCTCCCCGGCCCCGGGCGCGTCCCCGGGACACCGTCCGAACGTGTGGCCTGCCTCGCCTGGAAACACCTTACAGGGACGCCGTCTGTATCCTCTTGTTCCCTTCGAGGACATGGTCGGCGGCGGCACCATGACTGCCGGTACACTACCGCACCCGCACCCGCATGCCGCACGCGACGAAGATGATGCCGCCCGCATGCCCGGCGGGATACTCACCTTCACGAACGCTACACCCGCGAAGGTCTCTGCGCCGCTGTTCTCCAAGCCGACCCCTCAGCCCGCCGACGCGCCGGACATGTTCTCGCCCATGCGCCCGCCCCACGCCAACGCTGTGAAGCCCGCCCCGGCTCTTCGACCGCGCTCGGAGCCGTTCCTGTTTGGCTCGCCGCTGCCGCGCCACAGTCTGTCCAACAAAGAGTTCGGCGACGCCGCGGCATCCGTGCTCGAGGAGATGAACCGCCGCGTCGCCGAAGCTCGTGCGGCGAAGGGCGGCGAAGCTAAGGCGCCCGCGCGCGGCGTCCAAGATGCCTTCGCGGACGTGTTCAGCGCCAACGACAGGGCCCATCAGCGTACAGGCAGCACGGACCGCTTCGCGAAGGCGCACGAAGACGCCTTCGGCAAGATGGACTCTATTGTTAACCACTATGCCGCGCGCCGTCCACCGCAGGCGCAGGCGCAGCCCAACTCGAAGAAGCGCAAGTCGGACGCGCTGGGCATCGGGCCCGCACCGGGGGCGAAGCGGAAGAGCAGCGCGGCCGGTGCGCGCGTTATCAGTGCGGGCGTGCGCAAGAAGATGGGCGTGCCTGGTGCGTTTGGCGCCGACGAAGACAACGACAACGACAACGACAACGACGGCGACGACGACGGCAGCGAAGAGGATCCTGGCGACCGCCGCTCATCGAAGCGAATCCGTACGACATCTGGCAACGATGTGCATAGTGGTCAGAGAGTCTCGCTCGCTCCTTCGGCCGGCGCGGATCCGGACGCCGAGGACCTGAAGAAGCAGAAGGAGCGTGAGGCTATACGCCGCAAGCTCGACGCCAACAAGGCCAGGAGGCGCAGCAGCAGGGGCCGAGTCAGTATTGGCGGCAAGCCGCCGGCTGGTTAGTGTTCGTCGTTCTCTCGTGGATCTCAGTCTGATTGGCCGTACTCTTTCAGGGAAGGCAAAGACGTCCCGCTTCGGGTTCCTTGCATCTGCCAAGTCTCTGGTGCGCAATGTATGGAACATGGGTGCCGGGGCGTCGAAGGACACCAAACCCGCTGCGCAGCCGTCTTCCACTGTGCCCGTCGCGAAGCCCGCACAGGCGCCGCAACCCGCGCCCACGCCCAAGCCAGCTGCAGGTTCCTCTGCGGCGACGCGGAAGCAGTCGACTGGAGCTGATAATGTTAGCGTGAGGAGCGCAGCGACCACGGCCCGCACTACTACGGGGACCGCTTCGAGTCGCTTGTCGCAGGCATCGAACTCGACCACGGCTTCCAAGAACACCGCCTCGACCAGCTCCTCTCGGCAGTCCATGGCACGGGTCCGCGCTCCCATCCCGTCGTTCTCCAGCGCCTCCAAAGGCACCAAACCGCCTGACGGAGCCGCCAGCTCGAGAACGAGTGTGGCTGCGAGGCCTTCCTCGTCAACGACATCGCGCACCAGTGTCCGGCCTAGCTCCATAGCGGGAGCATCATCACTAGGAACAAGGAGCAGTCTCGTCTCTGCCGTGAGGGGTCCGGTAACGTCCATGGGTGCGAAGCGCAGTATTTCCGGCTCCGGCGGCACTGGCGTTGGCACGACAGGCTCAACTCGTACAATGAGCAGCGATGCAGTGGATGGTTCTGGTTCGGATGCACCAACGGTCAAGAAGCGGTCCTCTTCGCTCATGGCCCCGACGGCGAGCTCAATGGCCAAGAGACAGAGCACTGTCCGCGCGGGCGCGGAAACCTCGGGAAGGCCCCCGGGTCTCTCAGCGGTAGCTGAGCAGACTGCCCGTCCTGCTCCTGCCCCAAGCAGGCGGCCCTCTGGCAATGCCCGGTCACCCAAGAAGACCACCCTTGGCATCATCACGAACAGCCCCCGATCGCCGCGGCTGATCAAGATTTTCGACAAACCACTGACGACGACGACATTCTCGAGCCCTTCGTCCCCGACTTCTCCTCCTGCTCACAAGCCCTCGCTTTCCGCAGCGGTCAATGCTATCATGGGCACACCGTCCCGGATTCCCAGACTCGCAGTGCCGCCAAAGCCCAAGGCGCTCGTTGCGCGGAAGCCGCGAGTTTCTCGTTCTCGGGTCATCGCGAAGATGGGAGCGCAGCGCGCCCCAGGACAACCGGCTCTCGCGACCACTGTGGCGCCTGCTGCCCGCACGCGATCTAGCATGGGCGGCAGGAAGTCGCTCGGTGGCGTGAAGGGAGGCCGCCAGAGTGCTGGCGCAGAGGTCATCAAAAGTGCGGTGAAGAAGAGGGCCCGGCAGAGTGAATGTGCCGCCCGGCGGAGGAGCCGTGCTGCAGCTGACTCGAGACACGTACAGATTGACGATCACGACATGACTACCGCCATTGCGATGGATACAGACCCTTGATTTTGAGATGTTACGCATGCCCGTCATGACTCGCTATGTTTCTTGACTGTCCCCATTTTCTGTATCATGGCCGTATATGCGTTCACGAGGGGTGTTGCGCGCTGGGCGCATGCGACTTGTGATATGTGCCATGCCGTATCTTAGCAGGTGCCTGACGATCTATAGATGATATGAGAGCCGATTTGGGTACCACCACATCTCATTGCATTTCAATCTCAAGTGAGGTAGGGCCCAAGGTTGGCCAGATCTAGACGCTACGCGATGCTCGAGGCGTTTTTTCTCTCCAGCATCTGCATGGAAGAAACTACATCTAGATGGGCACTGGAGTAATTGCACGAGTTTGCCACACACTTCGTCAGTCGCATCTTCCGACAAAAACTGGATTTTGTGGCTTACAGGGTAAAGGCGGATTTGTCACGTTCTTGTCCTTGGTGGCCGCTGAACAGTTTTTCTATAACGCTGTCGAACTCCTTTCAGCAGCGTCTGCGTCATGTTTCAGTTCTCTGGTCACCTGGTTAGTGGCCTTTCGCATTGCGGGTGAAGACTGACAGTAAAAAATCGGGCCACCGCCCTCGATGCCTTTTGATACCGACTGCGTGTCGGGGCAAAGTCGAATGTATACCCCAATGTGTAGTCCACGAAGTCAGCTTGTAACAGGTCCTCTTCCGTTGTCATTGGCTGTAACAGACTGTTAGCGGACGGAGTATGTCGTGAGACAAGTCACTGACGGGCAGCATGCTAATGAACTCTTCACCATTGTGCCACTCGCATAATGATTGACGGTACGGATAGGTGCTCATGACGAGGCCCTTTACACTGTCGCAAACGAAGGACTTAGTACGCTGCACAAGAAGCAACATGAATGTATGATCGGAGAGGATCACCCGAGCGTAGAGACGCATCAGAGCGCAGGATATCATGGGGGCAGCAGATAGCTAGTGGATTACTTACTTACTTGGATGAGTTGTCTCCGTTCACCGGGAGTACCCGCGAAACATGACTACGCAGAGCAGGCGTAGTCACATACGACCACCGAGTGACAAGGCGAGGGACGAAAGGGCCTGCGAATAGAGACCGAGTCACTGGATTCGTTATCAGAAGTTACGACTGTGGCAGTTCCTAGCCAGACCCGAGGTACACAGAAGCACCTGTGAATGCCGCATACCGCATCTGGAAATAGTGGACCCGTGGATTAAACAAAGCGACAGACCGAGGTGGTTAGCAGGGTCTGTAAGTAGGTAAAGAGATAGAGGCAATTTACACCGGTCCCATCTCATAAGCCCAGATTCCCTTCTGCGGGTTTCTGAGATTGAGATCGTCGTCAGGCAAGTCACGCAATTTGAATGGATCTGACCACAGTGAACAGAAGAAGAAGTCGAATCCTCACGCTCGGGTAGCGAGGAGACAGGAATGTTGAAAAGATTCAGTTGTATTGCTGGTACTAGCGTAAGAGGCACACATTTCAAAATTCTGAAGACGTATCAATCAAATGAACCTAAGATCATCACAGCTGAGAACACGTACAGATGCCACAGTGGAGGTAGTATCCATCAATCAGAGAGTACTATGATATTGTGATGCCCTTCACGAGTAGTCTCCGAGGGTGGACGCATTCGCGGCGTACTCTGGGGTGCAGGGACGGAGTCAGATGACACGGATAGACGCGAGAGAGCACGACTAAGCTGAGAAGCCTCTGAGTTGTCGCTCTCCGAACTATCAAACGATATAGGATGCAAATCATGCGAAGCCTGGGCGGCATTACGGTGGCGCCGCGACCGAGGCTCCGTCGGGGATGCCCTTGGGTTGGTTGTATCAATTTCGTTGGCTGAGTCATCACCTGACAGTTCAATTGGCGCTCCTCGCGCGATGTAGAGTGTATGGTGTGGTTGAGAAAGGGCCGGCATGGGCGGAAAAGGTGCTAAGGAACGCTTTTTGGGGAGTCCATCTGGTATCTCCGCCGTCGGAGTATGAGAAGTATCAGGGTCTGCGGTCGCCGAAACTGGCCGATCTTCCATAGCACCGAAGATCGCGGCCTCGACGCCATTCCCCGAAGATGGCACGACGGTCGAGTGGGAATCTCGCACATGCCTTCGCATGAGAGAAGGCGGACGAGGGCGCTTCTTGAGGCGATCCTGAGATACCGCCGTGCCTGGAAGACCTCCCACATTGATACCGACCATCCGCCGGCGAGCAGGCTGTCCAACATGATCTGCGGGTAAATATGCGTCGGAGACCGGGCTTGCAAGTGTAGTGGTTCCCGGAGCAGGAAGTCCTGGTGCACACGTCGGACTGCATGGTATTGATCCACGAGCTAGTAGCAACGGCTTCTGAGCATGGAGACTTTCACTGGTTCCATGGGCATGGAACCTATCGTTCACATTATATATGTTAATTTCAGAAGCAAGAGCAATTTTGCAGATGACTTGCCGATGTGTTATCTGTCTCGCCGGCACAACGTCGGGAGCCAGATTATCCGCGGCCACACGCTGAAGCTCACGGTTTCGGGCGTTCTCAGAGATCCGGAGGGGCCCTCGGTGATCTGCATCAGACTCACTTCTAGTATCTTGCTGGACGAGGAATTGCCGCCGGTCTGGGACCAGCTGGCTGGATGAAACATTTCCGCGGGCAGCTCGACCCTTAGTATGCGGCTTCGCCGTCGAGCGAACAGAGCTCGCAGAATCATCATCGGATCCACTGACTGCTTCCAAGTTGAAGAACTCCACTTCCCCTGACGAATGAGGTGAGGCCACAACAGCCCTGCGGCTAGTTTTGCCCTTCCCGACGGCCGCCTTGCCCTTCGAATTTACTATGGCAGAACGCTTGAAGGGAGGAGCTTCACTTTCGTCGCTAGACGTAGCCCGAGCATCCTCTACTTCATCCCCTTCGTCCCCTTCATCTTCGAGCTGGGGGACGGTCCCACGTTTATGTCTGTAGCAACCACGTATGACATCTCCCCACAAGACGTATGAGCCACATGAGCTACATTCACCGCCTCTGGGGATGACCTGCTTATTTGAGGAGGTGAGGCGTAGGAAACTCTCGGACAAACACAACAGATGAGAGACGGCATGACAACCTGGTGTGGGGCACAAGGCGGTAGCGAGAGGGTCCTAAGTTAGGAATAAGAAGCGAAGTAATACGATATCGGCGGATACGTACAAGTGGGTAGGTACAGATAGCCTGCCGACAGACAGAACATTGTAGAGGCTGTTTTGCCGCAAGCAGTGTCGTCCACTTGCTTAAGTGGTCGGTCGTGAAGGAGCCTAGAATGAGATGGTAACATGTCATAAAGACCTCATGATTTAGGATCTGGATGCAGAAACGCACTGTCGGTGACATCGATTGGCACTTTTCTACCCGCACCTTGCTTGCCTGATTGGCCATCTACACCTTCCAGTTCTAAGGTGCAGGTAAATCCTACTGGTAACACGGCGTTTTTTGAGATCAACGATGTGGATGCGTCCTTCCAGGCTTTGGAAGCCTCTTCGGTAAACAGGGCGACACGTAAAGGCCATGTGCTATAAGGGTGAGAACAGATCATACTTCGCGCGACCCTGGATGAAGGTTGCTTTCCTGAGCAGGAGATTGATACCAGAGTCGATGACCTTACGATACGTTTGATTTGAGGTTTTTCCGTCTGTTACTTTCGCTGAAAACAGCCTGGCCGTCGTTGTCGCGGAGGTGTCGTGAAATATGGGGATGCTGCCAAGCCCACTCAAACTGCAAAGCGGCCAATTTGGAAGGAAATCCGTGTACTATCATTTGCATAACCCAAGGACGATTGTGCTTGGTTTTCCACGCGCCTTGAGTGATTTCACCATTATGTTGCCTATGGATGCCGTCCTCACTCAGATCGAGTTGGGCGTCGATGAATCAACTGCGAGCACTCACCTAATTCGGCGAGGGGGGCTCGGGGTACTCCCAATGTATGTCCTGAAATAAGATACAACTCATTGATCATGCGAATACGGATAACGCTACACACGCTGTAGAGCGTAGCGTGCGTACACTCTTTAGGAGATAGCACGCATAGAACGCTGGGAAACTATGGTTTGCCAGAGTGGATTTGGTCTTGCGAGGCATGTGCCTCAGTACACAGGCTGCAACTTATTGTCTACTTTGAGATAGGAGCAACGTAAAGAGGGATGGATAAAGTGAGCGCGCTACCATATTACATATGGTGCCAGTGGCTGAAGACTCGAGCAACGTGACGCGGCCGTACGCGGGTGAACGCGAAAAGTCACAGGATATTACTTGTGTGACAGTTCGCGACTCGCAATGTCACGCGGATACGCGTAGGGTATCCTCCCTCTACCCATCGCGCCTTCCGGTCTGTGTTCAACATTGTATAGTCTACCACGTTCTAGTCCTGGTCTGTAAGGACGCCTAAACTCTTGGCTTGCGTGCAGCTGGCAGTCATGGACAGAGACGACGCCATCTCTATCTCAGATGACTCTGGCGACGAGCAGTATGCCGACCGACGCGCCATTCTCGAGCCTGCTATTCGCAACGTCGTTGATGCTCTCGGTGGATACGAGGGGGAATCATACAGACTTGGTGATGAATGCTATGGCTGTCTCAAAGATCTCAAGAAGCTCTGGCGCAAGGACGACACGGACGACGACCGCACAGTCGCGCGCATCTTTTGGGAGACGCGCCTGCTACCCAACGATCTCATTCCTATCCTTCTGGAGACTGCTGGGAAAGGCCTTCTTGAGGACAAATGCGCCATTGCATGCGCGGACCTTATGACTGCAATGACTTGGCCCATCGACCTAGCGGAGGAGCTGAAGGAGCTGGATGATGACTACGATAAAGGCGCTGATTATACGCAGCTCCTGCTCAGCCACCTCCATTATAAGGTTGCCGTGCTCAAACCTGGAGTCATGCAGGCTCTGTTCGGCATCATTCTCCCCTGCCTTGCTAAGAGTTCAAAGGAGAGAAAGGAGAGAGACACCCAGGTCATTAATGTCATCCTGTATCTTATTCGCAACCTCGCTTTCATCAAGGACCTACCCGCCAACATGCACACCAGCGCGGATCAGGCCGAGTTCTCTTCGTTGCAGACACGCCTTATCAAAAGCCTCTCTGACTCGAACGTGTTCGATTTATTGTTGACAATTGCCTCGAATGCGAACACGGATCCAATGTTCAATAGTTGGAATGCGCTCGTTCTGGAGATATTCTACCTACTCTTCCGCGGCATACAGCCGTCCTCCTTAGCTATAGACCAAACTCAGGTTCGCATCATAGTTGATCCAGATGGAGAGAAAACTCATCCCCTCGTAGCAACCAGCCCAGAACCTCCAACGTCTCCTGGCCGTTGAGGACGAACGTAAGCGCAATTTCGCTCGCAAAGCAACGTCACGCCACTCTCGCTTCGGCACGACAATATCTGTCCAACTAAACCCAAAGAAAGGGCAGCAATCGCACAAGGAGGGAGACGCCAGTGGAAATGCGAACGCGCCCGACCCTGAAGGATCATCGCGAGCGTTTGTGCTGCACCGTCAGCAAGCTATAAACCGGGAGGCGGGAAGCTTGTTGGACTTAGCAAAACGGCAGAAGACGCAAAAAAGCAAGATAATTGACGAGCTTGGTCGTGACGATAACCTCTCCCTCGATGCGAAGCTCATATTGCAAAATCTCGCGAGAACGTTCATCGAGGCCTGCTTTAACCGTGAGTACCGCGGTTTCGTTAGGGCATGGTCCGATTGACGCGTATACGTTCGCAGCATTCCTAGCTTCTCTGCTCAAGGATATCAGAGCGGAGAGGCCGAAGATCACAGAGAAGGACAACCTTCGTCTGCTCTACGTGGCAAAATGGTTCCTAGATTTCTTTTTGTGCGTTCGGGCGAAAGAAGGGCCCGACAGTCCGTGGAAGTTTGGTCTCATCGCAGAGGTCACTGAGCGCGCATGGATTGTATGGGTCCTGAAGCGCATGCGGGAAGCAGTCGAAGAAAAGGTCTGTGGTCCCCTATGTTCGTAACTATACATCCTGACGCGTACTGTGTTCTAGCCGAAATTGTGGAATGAGCTACAAGCAGGCATCGAGTGCCTCACGCAGCTTATCCTCGTCATCGATAATATGTCCTCTTCTGGCGACGAGGACGTGATTGACGCGGCAGAAGTTCTGCAGCAGCAGATTATCTATAATGGAGAGATGCTCGACATAGCCTTCGAGAGTCTACGCACGTACAAGGAAGGCACGCAAAGTCTCGCCTACCTGGATTCCAGCGTATATTTGGCCTTTGCTCTAATGCGGATGGTCGAGCGATGGGGAAAGAAACGTGGGCCGGGAGGCGAGATGTATGTTCGACGGAAAGCGAAAGCAAGGAGAAAGAAGAAATGTGAGAATATAATCTGACTCATCTCGTGATTCGCACTGATGAGGATGCCCAGCTGCTGCCGAAGGCGAAGGCGTGCCTGATGTTGATGAAGAGGAAGACAATCGTGAGGACGAGGACATCGTTCATGAAACGATGTTCACGTTCGATATGTTTCAGCAGGTTCGTTGTCTGGACATCATACTGTGCGCTGAAGTCTTATTGTCCTCGACGTAGAAATTCGCGCACCCTGACATCACGCAAACACTCTTGGCGTATCTTGCGCGATACAAGGAGATCAGCTCCGCAGAGAAGATGAAACGGGTCGTTAACCTGATGCATCGACAGGCTGTGAAAGCGAAAGCCGAAGGCCTTTTCTTCAATGTCAGCTAACCGCTTCGCTTGTTTGTTTGATTCTTGACCATTGTTACCCGATAGGTATCTACGTTGGATCTGTTCAAGTCAATTCTTGCCGACCAGAAGTCGCTTCCCAAGGGACAGCCATACAAGGATCTCGTCGACTTGATCAATTTCCTACTACGCAAGTTCTTCAAAGCAGTTGAAGAGGACTCCTTCTTAGTCGTCGAGGTAATTCACTCCCGGTGGATGCATGTAGCTGGCTTCTAAGATATGTTACCAGGCGTTCTTCCCCAAGAATAGGGGGCATTGGAAGCAGTACTCCAGCTGGGAACCGGAGAAGAGCATCAAAGAGGATCGCCCCCTTGACGACAACAGGTTCCCGCTAGAAGTTCAGGTGAAGAAGGGATACTCGTGGAGTGAACAGCTCGGAATTGCCATCGCCTGCTTGGTCGAAGAAGGCAAGCAAAGTCTGATAGACTGGGTTAAGCAGGTACGATAGACATAATTGTGTTTGAAGTTATATAACTGACCACTATCGCGTAGATTCTCATGCTCACTATCGGACAAAGACAGAGGATCATTGAAGATACCGACGGGTCTTCGTCGGCCGTTCAAGACGTATCTGACGGCGAAGGCGATGTGTCCGACGCTGGATCACCAACGCGAACCCGAGGTCCCTCCAATGAAGCACTTGCAAAGTTTACTGACTATTGTGAGCCATGCCTCACGACTCATCAGCGGGCTGCATTTTGATCGAAGCGTTCTTCAGTGATACCGTATATCAATGACGAAGAAGCGAATGCAGCAACCAAAGACTCTTACCTGAAGCTCGTATTCCGTCTCGTGAAATTTCAAGTCCTTGATGAAAGTACGAGTCAATTTCCATATCGTGTTAGAACAACTGCTCACGCTCCCAAAAGCTGCTGACGAACTAGAGTGGTATATCCCTGCCGCCATTCTCCCTGACGATTTGCAGCGGAGCCTAAATATTATCAATCAGTTCCTCGAGAAGCCGTTAGACCTGGAGGGCAAAAAGGCTTCACAGCTCATTAGCAAGAAACGGAAGCGAAGGAGACGACGCCGTTCTCCTTCGCCAGATGCTAACGAAGAGTCTTCTGAGGATGAGGTCCCAAAGAAAAAGAAAGAGAAGAAGAAGAAAGAAAAACAACAGTACAAGTCCGCTCAGTTCATCGAGGACAGTGATGCAGAGCTCGCCGACATGGAAGCATTCCTGGAGAAAGAGAAGGCGCTGCGGGAGAAGACTGCGAAGGCGGCAGCTGAAACAGGTCGTATCGCAACGATGAAACCGACAGGGACGAAAAAGCGTCGCAAGAAGGCGGGGGACAATGGTACGGCAAAGAAGAGACGAAAAAGAGGGGGCAATGCAGAGGTAACTGAGGCGGAGAAGAACCAGAGCGATGGCAACGACTCGGATGAGAGCGAGTTGAATATCTTTGGGTCTCCACCTCGATCGCCATCGACTGCGCAGACGTCCCCTGAAATAGAGGAAGAACAAGTGAAGCCACGCCCTCGACCACGACCACGACCACGAGTTCAGGCCCAACCGTCAGCCTCGGACGAAGCCCATGAAAACACACAAGATGCAGTCAAGCCTCTATCTCTTACATCACTGAGTCCGTTGGACGAAGCTTCAGATAGGGACCCCGAAGGCTCGCATCGCGCAACAATGAGCAGGAAGAAAGGACGTCTTCAGCTGGTCTTATCGGACGAAGAGGATGACTGAGCATGGAACATTTTACCGACATTGTATACTTAGCTTACTCCGAGTGGTTCAGCGCGAGCTTAGCGAATCCATGTAAGGTGTCCGTTGGACAAATGCAAACGATGTTTTGCATAGAAACGCAGGCTTCAAAGAGTGAGTACATACAATAGACATAACATGATTATTGCATGGGCACATGCTATCGCCGTTGTCGTAGGAGCTGCAACGCCAATTCCTCTTCATCTTCAAGGCTATCATGGACGTGACTACGCTCAGCGTCCGACTTTTTGGTCCGCTTAGACGGTGGGGGAACAGCTTCGCGATCGCTGTCCTCAGAATCCGATGGCAAGTCGAACTGAGGGCTGACGTAGCCATCGTCCTCGTCAGGCGGAGCCACGGTTGCAAATGTAGCGACCCCTCCATCATCGCCGTGGCCTGTCTCCTACGACATCCGATTAGCATCTGCTATACCTGACCGACCTGACAGGCACTCACCTCTCGTTCCCGCTCCTTGCGTTTACGCTTCTTCTCTCTCTTCTTCTCCTTTGCCTCAGCCTTGTCAGCAACATCCGCCTGCTTCAGCTTGCCGCGCTCGCCCTCGGCAAATTGCCGACCCGCCTCCTTCACGTCCTCAGCACCCTTGAACACCTCCTCCGCCGTCTTCATTTCGTAAACTTTGTGCGGGTTCCCCTCATCGTCAAACACGAGCTTCTCGCCCCTTGGTGCAGATTTCGCAAGTGCCTTTTTCGACAACGCCATCTTCTGCTTGCGCTTCGAGATGAAATCCGATGCGGGCAGCGCATCGTCACCCGGCAGCTCGTGGTCAGCGCGCTTCAGTGTGATGAAATCGTCGTCCGAGTCCGCCCGATCTGCAGAGTGATCCACGAGCTTGTTGTAATGCGCGGATAAAATATCCTGGTTTTTGCGCTCGAACATGCGATCGTACTTAGTGCGAACGCGATCCTCCTGTCCACAAAAAACTCTAGACTCAGTAACATGGCAAACCGTAGGGGCGATGAACTCTACCTTCGTCTTATTCCCACTCGCCTCGAGCTCGGCGGCAGTTCCTGCGGGATCATCCTCGTCATCTGAGCTCTGCTCAGCTGCACTGCTCTCATCATCGCTATCATCCGAGTCTGGGCTAGAACGCTCCTGTGGACGATGCGCAAGTGACGCCTCCGGGGTGACGGCCGCATAAGACGCGTTTTTCCGCTTCTTCGCCATCTCTTTGGTGAGAAATTTGATTTTGGGCATACCAGGCAGACCAAGTGCCTCCGCAAAGCGTTCGGCGGGGAGCTCGGCGACCTTGAAGATTGATTTGTCCTTCTGCAAATGCACGGAACGCAGGTAGGATACAAATGCCTGGGTGTAACACATGGTATAGGTCAATGTGCCTAAACCTGAATGAATGGTACGCACCCGCTGGGCCAGATACTTGATCTCGGGATCCTGGAAGGCCAAGTTTTGCAGTTGATTCTCAATGCTTTGAGTCTTACTTGCTCTGATTTTGATCTTCTCTGCTGTGATGCTCTTCTTCGCCAAAGCCTGCGTCATGCCCTCCTCCTCGCTCGGCATCAAAAACAGCAAACCCTTCCCTGCGCTCTCATATCGCGCCGTGCGACCCACTCGGTGGATATACGTCTCCGCATCCTCCGGTGCATCTACTTGGAGCACCCAGTTGACTGCCGGGAAGTCAAGCCCGCGTGCGGCGATATCCGTGGCGAACAGCACCGCGTGCTTCATGCCTGTGAAGCGCTGGAACGTTGCGAGGCGCGTCATCTGCTTCTGCTTCCCGTGTAGGTGCAGCAACGGCACGCCAGGGTGCAGGCGGCGGAATGTCTCGAACACGAAGCGCACCTGCTTGCACGACGAGAGGAAGACGAGCACTTTGCTCTGTAGATGGCTCTTCAGGAATGACCAGAGCAAATCGAGCTTCTGGTCGAGTGTGCACAGCACGTAGTGCTGTTCGAGGCTTTTGGGCATCGCGCTTGCGTTATCAGAATCGTGCACGCCGATGTAAACGGGGTCTTTGAGGCTGAGACGGGCAAGGTTGGAGACGGAGTCGGTCTGCGTGGCTGAGAATAGGAGCGTCTGGCGGGCTTTTGGGAGGTGGGATAGAAGGGCTGAAAGTGTGCGTTGGAAGCCCATATCGAGGATGCGGTCGGCCTCATCAAGCACTATAAGTCGTGAAAATCAGTTTAATTGCAATTGCATCACCGCGCGCCAAACGTACCGAGCATTTGCAGGTTGTCACATTCAAACCCGATGGTTTGGTCCATGTGCTGCAGTAAACGACCTGGTGTCGCTACAAGGATGTTCATGCGCGAAAGACGCTCACGTTCGTCCTTGACATTCTTCCCGCCAATGACGAGACCTGCAGAAAAACTATGATACCCGCCAATTGAGCGAAGGACATCGAAAATTTGAACGGCCTAGAACAGGTCAAATACAACCATACAACCAAAAGAGAACGACCTCCTCACTCACCAATTCTCTTGTAGGCGAAATGATCAGCGCACCCAGACCATCCTGAGGTCCCCACTTTCTCCGATACAAGATCTCGAGTACTGGCACAAGGAACGCAAGCGTCTTCCCACTTCCAGTGCGAGCTGCCCCGAGTACATCCTTTCCTTTGAGAGAGACTGGCAAGCTTTTCGCTTGGATGTCCGTCATATCCACGAAGAATGCCTTCTTAAGACCTAATTGAGGAAACTTCAAATCTCGCAACAGAAACCCTCGAGATTCGACAACGAAAACTTACCTCGCTTCGTAAGGTCTGAGATAGGCAGGTCCGCGAATGACTTCATGTCGGCAGGAGCATCCTAGGTCAAGAGACACTGCGTCAATGCATGAGTACAGACGAGGACAGTGGGAGCTGCAATACGTACATATTCAAGAGCAGCCTTATCAAGGATGTCTACTGCTTGTACCGCCGCTGTTTTCTTCGACCTCGACGACTTGAGCGAAGGCTTTTTAGCCTTCGAGGTATTTGCCAGCTTTTTAGGACGCGAGGGGCCCGCTTGTGCCATGTCTTGGAGGTGAGGGCCAGGAAACGTCGGCTCTGGGCACAGTGAACCACGCTGTATGCAGTAGAGAAATGAGGAGACGGTGAAAGGCGCGGTGGACGACGCTAATCGCGCCTCGATCGGAGTATCAAATATCTACAAAAACTTGTTACTGTATTGATGATATCACAAGCGGAGTTAAAGGTACTCTTGCTTCATGCTGATCCTCTCATACACTCCGCAGATAGGTCCGATTGTTACAAGGAGAGGTGGTCGGAACCCGATCATTACTATTCACCTATTTGTTCTTGCTGAATGTCTCACCGCAAGCTTCTGCTTGTCGTGTATAGTGTTGCCGCCGGTCGTACTAAGCCCGCACGCATCGCTTAGCTGGCAAACGTCACAGACATGCCTGGCCTCGTGTGATCATCAACATGTCTCGTCTCAGGGGTCTCGAAGCTGTGCTTTTAGCAAAGACCACGGGCCTAGTATTGTCGTTGACTGTGAGGTACGGCATAGCTTTCGCTATAGCCCCACTAAGTTGGGTCAGCTCACTTTCAACCAGATCAGCGCCCGCTGCCAGTCCATTGCTGATATATAGCACAAGAGCATAGTCGACGCTGGCACCGGTAGAACGCTCCAATTCATCACGCTGCCTTGTACTGCAACACGAGCCGCCGCTAGAAGCCTGCCCCAGTCGACTCGCTAGTAGATCTTGAATGAAGAATGGCATACGCCATTTTAGACTCATATTCTCAGTCGCTCCAAACCGAACAAGCTCCTACAATTTCTTCGTCTCCGTCGCAGTATTCGCCCTCCGTGTATGAGCAACTTACCGAGAAGCTCCCGAGCCCTCGAGAAATTCTCAGCCCCTCAGCCCCATCTTTCCTTCTTACTCCTCTCCCAACCGTCGCGACGCTGACAGCACTCCTATCATCTGTCGAGCAACCATCCTACGATCCTGCGGGGCAAGTTGTCTGGTGCCGTGACGTTCTCTCGCTCGCGGAACGACTTGGAAGTCCACTCACAACTCACTCCAATGGGCCTCTGCAGATCAACGATCCCACACTGCGGCGTCTCCTGGATGTTGCTCTCCCCATGCTTCTTAGGCTGTCCACGCGGCGAAAGCCAATGCAAAGCTTCGTTCCAGGATATGTCGCCGAAGCACTTTATCTATGCGCAATGTGCGAGGCCAGAGGCTCGTTCCCACACCACATAGCTTTGAACCCGAAGTTGGCATTCACGCATTTCGAGGCAGCCGCGAAAGCGGGATTCCATTCGGCCTATTACAATCTAGGAACAGACTTCGAGCAGTTCGGGGACGTCAAGCACGCATTGCAGTGCTTCGAACGTGGCGCCGAAAATGGTGCTCCGAATTGCCTATACGTGCGTCCCGTACATGTAATGGCATCATATCTCACTTTAACGTGACGGTCTCGTAGCATCTAGGCTTAGCACATTTGACAGGCCAGCTTGGTCTCCCCGAGGCGCCAGATACTGCGCTTCCACTCCTCAAACAAGCTGCTGTCCTGGCAACCGTTGACGTCCCGGAGCCTGCTTATCTCTATGCGCTGTTGCTCCTGCAGGAGTTTGAGTCAGTCTTCGTCGGACCCGCATTGCTTGATCCTCTTATCCCGCGTGGATCCACTCCCGAGCGCGAGGCGCGCACGCACTTGAAACGTGCCGCGTACCTGAACCACGCGCCTGCGCAGGCGCGCCTCGGACGCGCGTATGAGCTTGCAGACGCGGGCTGCGCTTTCGACCCGGTGCTCAGCGTGCAGTATTACGCGCTCGCGAGCGCACAGGGCGAGCTCGAGGCCGACATGGCGCTTAGCAAGTGGTTCCTCTGCGGAAGCGAGGATGCGTTCGCGAAAGACGAAGTACTTGCGTACGAGTATGCGGAGCGCGCGGCGCGGAGAGGGCTCGCAAGCGCACAGTTTGCGATGGGATACTATACGGAGGTAGGTATTGGCTGCGCAAAGGACGTTGCTACTGCAAGGAAGTGGTACACACCGGTGCGTTACTTAACCTTAAACCGGCCGAACACCGGTCGCTGAGCTTCAATATCCGCAGGCCGCCCAGCAGGGCAACACTGATGCCTCCGATCGTCTGAAGGCGCTTTCTCGTTCACAGTCACTTTCGCGCAAGGAACACGAGAAGCTCACGGACACCCAGCTCGTCCGTAAACGCACGCAAGCCCGCATGCGCTCGCAGGCGGCTGCAGCACCTCCTATGCCACCGCTTCCTCCCTCGCCATCCGTCGCTTCCTTCGCCAATACGTCTGGTGTCCCTCCTCCAATGAACGCGCAGGCGTCGGTCGCACCTCTCAACTTCCGGAAGGCTGCAGCACCGCAAGGACCTCCGCGTGCACCAGCAATGGGAAGCGGGCCTCCTCCGAGCGCAAATGCGCAATACCGTGGCCCTCCATCCAGAGATGCTTCTCCCGCTCGTGCAGCGCCGTACCAGTATCAAAGCACGCCGTCCAACGCACCCTCATCTGGCCCCCAAATGAGAATCAACACTCCACCTGGCGGGCTGGGACATGGCCCTCATCCCAATGCAGGCCCAGGTGCTGATCATAATGGACGCCCCCCAAATTCCTACCCTGGGTCCGGTCCCAATCCATATGGAGGTCCCGGTCCCAATCCATATGCAGGTCCTGGGCCGAATCCTAGCGCACGTCCCAACCCTAATGCACGTCTCGGCCAGAACTCAGACGCCCGCCCTGGCCCGAACTCCAATGCGTACTCTGGCCCAAACTCTGGTGCACGTCCTAGTCCAGGGTCGAATGGCCACGCCGCACAGAGGCGCGAGCCCCAAGGGCCGAGTGATCGAGCTATGACGCCGCCGCAGATGCCGATGACGGCAATGCCTACGTACAAGGGTCCGCGCACTTTCCAGGAGATGGGGGTGTCCGTTCAGAAACAAGAAGATGGAGAGAAATGTGTTGTGATGTAATTTACGCGCACCGGTTCTGCTAAATTATAATTCGGTATGCATGCTACGTGTGTTTGACGTTGGGGTGTTTATCTCATGGGATTATTGGTGTCTTACGCATATACCCCTTTATATCTGCACCTCCATCAGCAGAGACTAGCACTCATTCAGCAGGTCTCAAGTCACACGGTGAGATGAGATCTTCTGGGCCACATACTAGCGATGCACCTGCGCCGACTTCGTTTCTGCTTCGCAACATCACTTTTTGAGTATCCCTTTTGTTCGTGACTGCAACGCCAATCACTTACAATTGATCGACTGCATCCGTGCAGAAGAAGCTCAGGGACACTAACAAACTGGCACATTCCCGCTTTTTGTCTGTTACCGTGAGAGTTCGCTTTAACGTGTCATCGTACTGCTACCTCTATGCGTCAAGGAATCAAGAGAATTGGTCCAGATGGTCGTGTATGTGCACCCCCTGACTGTTAGGCGTCGAGTCTCGAGCTGTCCGGTCTGCGGCACTAGTCTTAATGCTAGCAACTGCTCCATCAGCAAAGAACTATCAACCTTCAATAGGGCTTGCTTCATGCTCTACCGCTACACTGCGACCACAGCGCAGCAGCCCCTTTTAAGGACTAGAATATATTTCTGACTTGGGGCGTGTCTCTCAGGCCACCACATAAACCATACAACCGTATGACAGGTAGTCCGTGTGGGTCCGTGTAGGCGGCTCCCTGGAGACAAAACAAAGCGGCATTAGCCGCCACCTGCCACATCATTATTAGACGCCAGCGCTGTTCTCCTTTTGTGACCTACACGATGGACGCGGAGGACTTTCCTCCTTCTCAGCCAATACCTTCATGTCCCAGCAATTACAACGGGCTGCTATCATGTCCTCCATCCTGTAAGGTTGATCTCTGTTGTGCCTGACACTCGGCTTTGCCGGACAAGTATGCCAACGATCCGTTTCTGGCCGAAGTCCTCGCCATGGATCCTGCTTGCGATCACAATCCACACGCGTAGATGTGTTATGGTGGTGCTTTTCAGTATGGCAATATGTTATCGTCGACGGCAAGTAGATTTATTGTTGCGTCACGTTCACTTCAACGCCGCCGAGGTAAGTGCTTTATTTTATCACACGTCTATGACTATTAGATTTCATTCTTCAATGCACGTTCAAGGGACTTATTGCGATGAGTAGGATGCTAATCTATTTCTCTGTGCAGATTGCTTGTCATGGCGCAGCCCTCATGGTTACGGATGCCTTACATCTTGTGCTCGGAATACAGGCATCTGTTCTTTTATCTCATTCAGGTGAGACCGCTATCCAAGTTCACGAATGATGCTTCGTGGCAGTTCTAGTCTTTGATTCTCCGTCTCCTTGCGGTGCGTGTCACTGTTGAATCGCTGTATAAGCGCCGATAAGCGTTCAGTTGACTGCCATCAAGCCCAATTTTTGTCATTCTCATGTCTCTGTTGTTCGTCGACGTTGTGTATGACGAACATGTCAATGGCAGGGGCCTTATTTCCCGTTGTGTACACAAATCACAGCGTTTTCCAGACATGGTAATTTTATGTATTTACTCGCTGTTGTCTTCGTGGGTCCGTGTTTGTACCTGTCCAAACAAAAGCCTAAGGAGGCAAAAACCAATCCAACCCCAATCAAACCTTCGTTGCCGCCCGGCTCATCGATTTCCAGGGCTGTGAACAAGCTGTCTTAGCCAACAGCCGCCTTCCTCTCCGGCGATATAAACCACTCCCCCCGCCGCTGCCATGGCCATCCCATCCGGCCTCGCTCGAGATCCAAAGCTGATTCCTCGCCATGGTCCACCGAGATCGTAAATACGAGACCCTCTCCGGACGTCCTGCCAAGGCCCTCGTGATCTCCCGGCGCAATATCCAACGAGCTAAATCCCAAGCACGCCGCCCCTTCAACGCCGCGGCGTTCCAGAAAGCACAACCGGATGCCGATCCCGATGCATGGAAGAAAGATCTCGTATCCTATACCTTCCCCGGAATACGATACAGGGACTCTGCGCCACTCAGCCTCGAGTATCCCCGACGACTTCTCAAGCCCGCTGACATCGCGCCTGTCTCGATGGACAATATCACGCGCACAGAGTCTGAGTACCAGGGCATGACTCTGGATTATCTGCGGAGGGGGTTGGCGGCGATGTCAAACAGGTACGTCAGAGATGACTCTGCGCTTGTACATCTTATGGACCGTTCCTAGGTTTATGGGCACATACAAGCATTTCCAGACCCAACGCCCCATGGCTGCCATCCCAAACGAGGCGACTGTCCTCGTCAGCGACTACGGCCTGTCATGTCTCCCTTCTCATGTTTTCGCCGTGTTTGACGCCAGCGACACGGAGTTCATATCGCCTTCTCTTGGAGGTCTGACGAGCCCAATGTCCGCATCCAGGGAGGTAGCATACTATCCCGTCCACGGCGTTGTCTTCCTTGCGCATTGCAGCAAGCTGCCGCAGTTCAAAAAGATGAAGCCGCGCCTGCTCGCGCGGGTGCCCGGCACGCCCACGCAGTCTGCCACGACCAAGTTCTCCATGCCTGTCGTCCCGCTGCGCGTCCCATCCATAAAGGCGTTCACTCCCGTGCTGCACTACGTTTACAGTCTTAATACCGAAGATCTCCTGCGCTCTCTTGTGCCCGGCATCGGGCAGCCGTCCCCGCGCCCCGTGCCCCAGATGCATGAGCCCTTCGCGACGATTCCGTCGTTGCGCAAGGACCTTCCGCGCCAGCAGCGCATCGCGCACATCGCGAAGTGCACCGTGGAGCACTTTGGATGGGATCTGTCGCCGATCTCTGCCTGCGCATTGCGTGTCGAGGCTGTATGGCGCAATGCGGCCTGCCTTGGCGTCACCGATGACAACTTCTGGAAGACGATAGGTCTCGCATGGGAGGCATGTCTTGCTGCTCTGCGGCTTTGCGAGACGGAATCCTCAGGGAAGGTCGAGGGTGTCTCGGCTTAAAGCCAGTATTTCCTGGTGCTGTGCCAACTAGGTAACTCTGTGTTGTCTTATGTGTATTCCGCGATTCTGTAGCAGTAAGTATGTCTCATATGTCTTGATTGAACACCCCCCTGCTTCCCTGATTGGTAACACTACGCATGTATTCTTGTTTAGCGCCATGTATGAGATCTATCAAAGACGTACATCGTATGAAGAAGCCTTCTTCCTGCAAGCAGATTGTACTCATAATAGCACAACGCGGATGGCAGGGAACAGAGAACAGGAACCTCGCATCTGGTCTGCACGTGAGATTGAGCGCACGCGTGTCTGCCAGCTTCTTGCACGCTAAACTCGCATATTCGGTGTCACCACCTCACTGGAGGTCTCTCCGAATCATGACGAATTGGCGGCAAGCACAGAAAAGCTTGAGGGTTGCTGTTTCGGAAGCTGTACTGACGACCGCGGTATAGAGTGGACATGTGACCGTGTCATGAACACTCCCTTGATCAACCCCGTGCACCATCGTACATCAGTGTCAACGTTTACAGGATCCCTATGTTGCATATAATGTAGACATACGAATCCATGCTGTTAGCAACGCTTTGACGTGTCGCCGCCTGCTTTCTACGACTGTCACTTGGTTCATAAGCACAATCTGCCGCCGATGCCATTATAAGCAGCCCGTCACATCCTTGACTTGACTCACATGGACCACTCAGGCTTGCCCTGTCTCCTACTGCCACTGCATGCAATGGCCCGTTGAAAGTGTTGTGTCATGATGGAGAGAAACGGCCCCTGTCAACCTTTCATGGTCACATGCAGACCGAGCTGGTAGCTTGAGGTTCAAACTATTTCTACCGTGCGTGCAACAATCGCTTGCAGCACCCACGTTCAGCTCCAACAATGAAAATCTTTACTCACAGTGCTCAATGAAACTGAATACAACTGACGACTGAATTACATGGGTTGGTAAGAGGCCATGCTTGCCGCCATTTTCATTGTATGTACTCACTTTATGTAAACGCAGTACAAGCAGATCAGATCATTACTGTGTATAGACTCATTGTCCTACTTAGTAACATATGACAGCGTTGCTTGTTCATAAATGGCGAATCCGACAGCGTGGCCGTCCCCGTGCCTGACGCTCCTTATGCGAGAGTGCCACGATTACCTTACCAGTGAGCGTGCGCTACCGTCTCGAGGCTCATTGTCTGCATTACCTCACATAGTTCCGTTACTGATCTCTGCCTGTCAACTCCAGTTGAGACTATAAAGGTACTGTTCACGTCTCGAGCCTTTATCCACTCCCGCCTCCCTCTCATCATCAATGGCTCACAAAAAGCTTGAGACACGCCCTTGCAATTCGAACGCCAAGGCTCTCGCAAACTGTCGCCGTCATGTACGATCGGCCAAAGAGCGCGCGTACAAGCCAATGAGTCGTGCGCAGAAAGACGACAAAGTGCTGGAGGATGATGTGGTGACGTACCACTGCCCTCCAGTTCTCCCACCCGGCTGGTCAGAAATCGCATATCGTCAAAAACATTTCACGTATGACGAGCTCAGTCCGAAAGATATGGAGTACTTTGAGTATTACTACCCAGGCCGTAAGGAGCAGAAGCTAGAGCGACTCGAGCAAGCACTCAAAGAGGTCCCGCGGCCGTATCTTCTGAGGGCTCTGGCCTCAATCGGGAATAGGTGCGTGATCCTCTGTCCTTTTCCACGCTCAACCGTGGACCGACGAAAAGATGTTCGCAGTCTAAAATTCGCATCGTATCCAGTCCAGCCAGTGGAGTTTGAGAAAGGCGGCTTCGAAGATTGGCTGTGCCAGGAGTCACTCAATGTGGACATCCGCCTTCCCAAGACGCTCATCTCTGACCCCGACGATCTCCCAGCAAACATGCCGACACATTACGTTGCTGTGTATGGTGCATGCGCAGCACCACCGCGCTTTAAATCCGAATTACAGCCAAGCGGCCGTAGGATCCAGCTCTTTCCGGTTCACGCAATCGTGCTGTTCACCTACTGCAAACGACTACCCAAGTTTCCGAGAAGAAAACCTCGCGTTGTCGGTGAATGGCCGGACGATTCGTCGCTCGTCCTCGTCCGCTTCCCTGTCGTCTCCATCTCCGTGGATATAGACTGCGACCCATATCCTCTGCTACAGTATCTGAGCAGTCTCGACCGCGACTTGCTCTTGCACCTGTGTCTAGACATCGGCGAGCATTTGAATTGTCCCCGTGACAACCCTCCCGCAACCGTATATCCGCAATCACGCAAGGAGCCCTCGCACGCAGAACGCGTGGCTTATTACGCGAAGCGCATGGTGGACGTCCACGAGTGGGACCTGAGAAGGATGCTTTGGAGCATGTATACCATTGAGGGGCTTCACCGGAACGCGGTGTGTTTAGCTGTCGATGAGGCTGGCTTCTGGGAGACGATCGCTCTTGCGCGGGAGGTTTGTTTGGTGGCTATCAAGATGCACGAAGCGCTATACCACCAATGGCAGCCAGTCGGGGAGGGGCCTCTATCAGCAGCACTAGCAGAAGTATGTGTCTGCAATATCTGTGAACGGCATAGGACGATGTTGCTTTGGAGATGACACCTTGTCCATGCGCCCTGTAAGGTATCGACTCGTTACTATGGATGTTATGTGAGGTATCATGGTCTACATCCCAGCCTGCTACATTGCTTGAATGGCTGACGACCACTTCTGTATCCGACAATAGGAATTGGAATGCGCGTGGTCAGGCACTCGGCTGATCGTGATTGCTCCTGGCCTTGTGAACGTCGGGGAAGTTGTAGGGACATCGGACCGGAGGATCGAGGAGTGGTTTGCTATCACTTTTTGAGCACATCGCTTTGCACAGCCATGACACGGATCACCTCGGTGAGACTCAGCTCCCTTGTATTCCGGAAGCGCTGTGGTATCTATAGGCGCCTAATCAGCTACCTCTGGCGGGAACCATGATATGTGTTCCTCTTGAGTGAGTCACAAGGCTGTGAACAAGGGCTTGCTTGTCCTATCTTGGATGACTGGTATTCAATCTTGTCCTGGCCTTTCATATAATATGCCCCGCGGGCCCTTTCACGCTTCTGCTTTCACATATTGCATTCCTGAACATGCTCGACAGGAAATCCAGAAAACACTCGGCGAAATCGCCTGCCAAGGCTCTCTCAAGCTCTCGACACTTCGTGCACTCGGCCAAACAGCAGGCTTACTGGCCCCGGGACCCACCAGCTGTTCAGGAAGCACCTCTGCGCGAGGATTCTGAAGCATCGCAGAAGAGGGAAGTGATTGTTTGGAAAATCCCATCAACGCCATCGACGGATAGCTATCCAGGTGTTTCGTTCCTTCCACGGGCGACAAGGCCTCGACCTTTCCAGCCGTTACCTGCGCTTGATGGGTATTATGCGGACTGCGATGGTGTTTCCAGGGCGTACGTCCTTCGGGCATTAGCATCAATAGGCCCTAGGTACGTTCTTCCTGAGAATGTCTCGCAAATTGTGAAATGAACAGACTTGTCCATTTACCAGACTCCTTACCGTGGTGAATCGCTACACCTTCAGCTTAAAGCTGCCTGTTGATGACTTTCCGAACAACATCCCGCCACAAGCGGACCTGTGCATCCTCGAAGAAGACCTGCCGTATATACCCACTCACTATTTCGCCGTCTACAGCCCCCCAGAAAGTACTGATCCGGATCTACCAGACGAGCAGAAAGCGAGCCTGGAGGCTGACGAGCAGAGAGCGAGACTGGAGGGTGGCGAGCGATCAATCATACTCTACGCGGTCCACGACATTGTTTTCATCTCGCACTGCGCCAGATTGCCCGCGCTCCCCACCCCTAAACGGACGCTCATGGGAGAACGAGTGCCCACAGACAAATGGCCCGAGACGACCTGGTATCGCATACCCGTCGTTCCCGTCCTCGCGAAGGACGACTTCTTCTATCAGGTCCTGTGTTACCTATATGACCTCCACCAAGACACGCTCCTCGACTGGCTCGTGCCTGGCTTCGACCCACGCCCCCCGCCGCGACCGCCCGTCAACGAGCCTTTCGCGGACATGCCGTCGCGAAAGCAGGTCCCGCGTGCTGAACGTGTCGCTCACTTCACGAAGACGATCTTGCGGCATTTCATGGGAGATGTGGGGGCCCTGGTGGGGAACATGGACCGCATCAAGAGTGCGTGGCAGAATGGAGTGCAGCTGGAGATCCATGATGAAGGCTTCTGGGATATGGTTGGCCTCGCGTGGGAGGCGAACCTTGCTGCTATTAAAGAACACGCGGACCTATATAATCACCATTGCGCAGACCGGAACGAGGCCACGGATGTACCTATAGGGCAGTGAACTCAACGACATGCATTTATATCTTACCCACGGCCGAGAAAGTCGTGCATTTAGAGTCAGGGGAGGCTCGCGGCACTTTCGTTTGGCCGTGATGAGTAGTATGGGGCATGTCGAGTCGTGACATATATTGCGAAGAAACTTACAAGAACAACAGGACAGATTATGAAAGCATCAAGTTCAAGAGCAAATGAGCCTGCAGGCTCGGTATCACAAAACAATAATACAGTAAAACGTACGTCATGTCATGACGCTGGAGAATCCAGCTGCATCCTATCCTCGCGAGACGTCTTCGCACAGACTAGCAATGACAAGCAACGCTGTTCAAGCCTTCTCTTGGTCGAAGTATGCGACCAACTCCCCTACAGGCACTTTCGGCTTGCCCGGCATCACCTTCGGCGGGTTGGGTATCGTGCTCTGCCGGGCCTCCTTGGTCTGCCTGCGGACGACGAGGGGGTCGACAAACTTGCCCGACGTGGGCGTGATTGGGGCTCCGTTCGCATCTGAGATGCCGAGCCCGAACCTGTCAATGGAGCGCGAACGCAGGCGCATATTCAGCGGCGTCACGGGCGACGGCGCGGCGATGTTGGCGAACTGCGACCCGTACATCGTCTGCGGGCGCGAACGTCGCAGAGAGGCGTTGTCCGAGGAATCTGAAGGCGACGGCGACGGCGACGGCGCGATGCGGTTTGCGCTGTTGCTGTATGGGGCAACGAGGCGCGCCGCCGCTTTGCCGATCGTTTCGTCGTTCGCGCCTGTGTCGTCCCATTCCTCCGTGACATCGTCGTGCGAGGGCGTCATCGACACCGGCGACGAGGAGAAGAATGCAGTGCCGATCTCGCGCGACTGGTTGCGCGAGTGGGACGTGGAGGGTCTCTCGCGCTCGCTGTCTCGCTCTACCCGGCTGGCAGACATGATCGGCCCACCCAGGGCGACCGTGTATCGTTTTCTCGGCGTGGGACTGACGCTCGCCTGTCGCACGGCGGGTTTGTTTGGAGGGGGCAGAGACGTCGGACTAGCACCAGGCGAGGTCGTGCGTGGCAGGCCCGTGGGAGACAAGCTGGTAGAGGGAAGCCCCTGCGAAGGCAGGCCAGAGATAGACATGTGGCGGGACTTGGTGGCAGAGGTAATCGAGGATGGGGGCGAGCTTGTGGGCGAGAATGCACCTTGGCCGAGCATGGTGGAGTCCGGTGGTGTAGCGTAATCACCCGTCGGGTAGGGCAAGCGTGTGCGCGGCGTGCGTGAGGATAATGCAGGCGCGCTCACCGGAGGAGGACTTATGGACGCGCGCATCTTGGGAGGAGTGGACGTTGGGCTGATCGTGATATTCTGCGAGATCGAGCGCACCGCAACTGCAGATGTCGTCGATGGGGCGCGGGCGATGGCAGCAGCATTGCGCGAAGGCCCAGAAGACAGATTGCCTGGCGAGGTGAGCAGCTTCGCCATCTCGCGCCCGAGCTCTCCGAAACGCCCTTGAAGCTCGGCGAGCTCCTCGCGCACCTCGCTCATCGCTCCCTCGACGGTTTCATCGCCGCTCTCTGATGCCTTACCATTGGCCTGCTCCCTCTCCTTTTCTTTCTCCTTCTCCACCAGCCAGCGCTCAACGTCATCCATGCGCTCCTCCAGAGCGCGCACATGCCCTACTGTCCACTTCTCAAGCTTCTCAAACCGCTTCACGATCGTCAGCAACGTGCCAGGAACGTCAAGTGTCCCTTGGGCATTGAACTGTGCATACAGCGGGGGCGCGGCTCGTGAAGGAGAAGACGAGCCTAGGTCGAGGGATCGCATTGGTGACGCCGCGAGGCTTGGCGGAGTGCCAGGGACACCATGACGATGGGGGGTCGGAGACGATGGTGTAGCGGACACTGGTCGCGGAGGTACCGACGTTGATGAAGCCGCCATACCTAATGTGATGAAAGAAGGATCTTCGAACTTGTTTTCCGGCACCGATGGCCATTCTTTGCTTTTCTGCTTGAGTTTGCTGCTCCTCTTCTTCTCCTTCTCCTGTTCCTTCTCTCGGGCTTTAGCCTCCAGGATGACTTGCTGCGCCGGGGTTAGAGGGTCCTTCGTCGGCGTTAGCTTGTTCTTAGCAGCAGACCACCAGCTGCTGCCATCGTTCTGCGAGGAAGGAGACGGCGGTGTTGCCGGCATCGTCTGAGAGCGCGATGGTGGAGGCGGGAGGATCTGCGGCGAGCTTTGCAGCATCGCCAAGACGCGTTCCTCTACCGTTCGCGCACCTTCTGCCTCGAGCTGCATGATACGCTCTGCTTCTCTTCTGCTCTTCTCGCGTTCCCTCTCCGCCTCGGCCTCGAGCTCGTCGTCCGTAGGAAGCGTGTGGGAACGCGGGCTCGGGTTCATCGAGCTACTCACCAGTGAGCCGACGCGCTGGGCAATATTCGCAGCGAACTTGACGACAGACGGACTAGGCGAATGTGTGCGCTGTCCCCACTGTCTTCCTTCACGCGACTCGGCTTCCGACTGGTGCGTCGAAGCGTCGTCGCTAATCTCGCCTGTCAACGGATCAATTGTCGTAGCATTTCTGAGTGGTGAAGGCGGTCGTCGGTGTCCGTAAACAGGCTCAGGCTGTCGACATATACACTTAACGCGTGAACGGCTCGCGACTGCTGAGCACTGACCAGATTGAGCGGCGAGGGCGGCGGAAGTGACATGCGCCGCTGTCTGACATCTGCCGAGGTCATTGGAGGGGCGAGATTCGTCGTGGACATTGATGCAGCATTCTTGTGAGATGGCGAGTAAGCCATCGTTGCCGTCGACGAGCACGAGCTCGTCGTCGGGGACGACGGCGAAAGGAAAAGGCAGATCGCCCTCGTTTAGGCTGGGGAATCAGACCATGTCGGTTCCCCACATGGCATGTTCGACTCGTTGCAAGCTGGCGCTTCCGCCTAAATGGTTTGGTTTGGTTCAGCTTTCGAGAGTTGGACGATGTTGACAGCGGAGAGACACAGTTGCCGAAGCATATGATTCTTCTTATGGCTGAGCTATTTCCCAACCCATCGTGAAATGCAGCCCCAACGGTTCATAGTGGTATCCTTGAGGCTTCTCTTTATCGTTCAAGTTAGCAAGCAGTGTGTGCCATGGCCGAGGGTCAGATCTGTACGGGAACTCATGTAATCTTGCTTCTGACACCTCGTCTTCCAGTTCTAAGCATACCCTCCCTCTTCGATGTGAGCGGCAAAGTCGGTGAGTCTACGCATATCTTCTCAGCGCATCGTCAACACACAAGGGGCACCACTAGCGGTCGTGACCGGGGGAGGGTCCGGCATAGGCAAGATGATTGCATCTGCGTTCGTGCAGAACGGGGCAAAGGTGTACATCGCTGCCCGCAAAGAACAGCAGCTGAAGGAGGTACGCTATCGCTGTCGCTCAGCATTCGCAGTCGATCAACAAGCCGTGGGTTAGGTGTGCGACCAGCTGAATGAGCAGGGCCCAGGCACCTGCCAGTACGTCGTGGCGGATCTGTCGGTAAGTCATAGCAAGTGTGGCACACGATTGTCCGTGTCGAATCATGGACGGACAAACGCAGTCGAAAGCAGGCTGCGACAAGGTAGCGGCCTTCGTCAAAGAGAGGGAGCCGAAGGTTCACACCCTCGTCAACAATTCCGGAACAAGCTGGGGCGCCGCCTATGAGAAGTGCGTATATCGGAGATGTACTACCTCCGCCACTCACAAACGTCATGCCTAACCAGCTTCCCTGAGAAAGAAGGGTGGGACCGCATTTTGGCCCTGAATGTCAAAAGTATATTCTACTGTACGTGATGTCCAGCAGGCGACATGGCCGGATGATAGCTCATCGTTGTGCGTTACACAGTGACGGTAGGGTAAGCGCAAATTCCTTTACGGGAGAAAGGCTGCTCTGATGACATGCGGAAATCAGGTTGACCGCTGTCCTGGCAAAGGATGCTACCAACGAAGACCCAGGACGTGTCATCAACATCTCGTCAATCGCCGGCCTGACTCCCACACCCTACGATCACCGAGTATCGACCGACACGCACGGGTTGTGGAGTTGTCAGCATGCTACCAGTCTCACGGAATAGTGATGCAACTGACTGTATGTACCGCTACAGATAACACGAGCAAGGCGGCTGTGAACCACCTTACCACGCAGCTTGCGTCTACCTTGGCTTCCCGTTTCATCACGTCCGTTGATCGTACTTCCTTCTATTGTGCGTCGACGCTCATTCACTGGCACATGTCAGCGTGAACGCAATCCTCCCGGGGTGAATATGGTGTGGCCTCGCTATTGTACGTGTTTTCATCGTATTGACGTATTCTTTTCGCGCCTTGCTCTACCACGTAGTATCTTTCCATCCAAGATGACAGCGTTTGGCCTCAAGCGCGCAGGCGAAGACAGTATCGCTGAAGAGAATCCCATGCGTAGGTCTCCCAGGTGTCTCGCCATGCTTATGGCTCACATACATGCACACGACCAGGTCGGTTGGGAACATCTCGCGATATGGCAGGCGTCGGTAAGTGCAGCCATTTTGCGGCACATTCCTAGCCGACTCAGGATCGCCTATCTTCGCAAGTGCTATTCCTGGCGAGTTCCGCCGGGTCGTATGTGACTGGCGCGCACATCGTGGTGGATGGGGGTTATGTGATCTCCACGAACATGAAGGCCAAGCTTTGAGTGCTGTATTCTCTATTGCTATTGATGCATTTGCTTAACCAATGGCCACACATTGCTCTGAGCACAACCTGATGCACGGCTCTATCTACATGTGGAGTAGCGCGGTATCCACAACTCGAATCCAAAGATAGTGCGATGCTGAACTTGTATCTGATGGTAATTAGCAGTAAGCATAGCTGCATGCTGACTAGGACGTCAGCTATATGCCATTAACACTCTTTGAGATCTGTGCCCACATTTCATTAGTTATGAGACCTCTTCCAGTACTTGCTTTACGAACGTTGGATTTATTGACACTACCGTCTTCCAGGACCGCGCCATGGCAAGTTGAACTTGCCAAAAGATTGATTCGGTAAGACGGAGCTGCTTGTACCTGACATTCTCCCCATGAGCCTTTATTAGGCCCAATATCTCTGTTTGCAGTGCGATCTCTGAGATGATTTCTTCTGCAGGCTGAACCGTCCTTTCCCGCGGCTTCATCCATATCTCGAGCAAGCGGACGTGTGAAGGGTGCTATATTTCAAGGCCGACTTAGGTATGTCTAGAGCATCAGCCGAATACTCTGCTTACTGGCTTCTTCTTGCGGATAAGAACTGAGGTGTGTTGCTCGTTTGCCCCAAGGTTCGTCCTACAGACCTGATCCCACTTCTGAAACCAATTCTGGCCAACAGTACCAGCGTTTGTGCTCACTTGAATCCATATGCCAGCCCACACACCCCTCCAAGCAGCACCCCAAACAGCCACTAACCTGGTTTTCCCAAAAGGCTCACGATGCTCATCCACCCACTGCCGTCGCCCGTCGTTCATCTTTGCTCTTCTGGTGGCGTCACGCACCACATCCGTTACGGCGGTTGACACTGTCCATTGGGCGTGCGCTCGCCAGAGTGACCTTCCAAGTGCCGCGTGTACGTCGAGCCGTACTCCACCATCGAATATATCCTTCCATAGCTTCGTTCGGAGCGATTTCTGCAGTCATCAACTCCGCGTCTTGTGGCGACTGGTCCGTCTCCTTCTCCTCATCCCCTGATAAAGCAGCACGCACCAATACTGTGTCGGCCGAATGCTGGTGCGCTGACTCCATTACGGCATGTCGAGTCATTGCTAACATCATCGTCCGTGCGAAGAAATAGCAATTGAATTTCTGGAGGGTATAGACGTGTCCCTGATCATCCTTCTGGATCCCAAAGCAGATCAGAAGGACGACCGACAGATGCAGCCCGTTGGCGAACTCGGCGTCATAGAGGCACTCCGAGTTGACAGACATGTTGTTATCGAGCTCGTTCATGGTGTCGACAGATGGTGTACCATCTCGTATGACGGCCCTTGCGGGAGCATCCGCCGCGGCTCGACGCTGGACACAGTACGCAAGGCCGTCCACCATGTGTAAGATGAGAAGGTTGTGGTAGAACGGCCATGTCTTATCTTTCATGAACTCGACTCGTTTGACGAGCTTGCACTTCTGTCTGCGATACCACTGAACTGCTGATCCTTGCTCGGGATCCCACTGGCCAGATGGGAACGACGTGTTCAGATCCTTTCGCGGTCATCTGGATGATACGATAGAAGCGTCGGTAGCGGTGAAAGAATTCATGGAGGGGATGAGGGGACCAAGTTCAGTTCAGGCTATGGTGGCCGTGTGGACAAACGCCGCGGCGCCAGAACCACACGCTGTGGTACTGCGCGGCCGGATGACGGCACACATCCTCCCGCTGATATCAATAGTAGATGGCGGTTCCGTCACATTCACGAATAGGAGAGTCTAGATCTAAACACCTTAAAACCCGGTAAATGAATTCCCGTAGTAGGTCATGCATGTAGGATCATCAGGGAACATATTACTGTCTATCAACTGATGGCCGGTCAGTCTGAATCTTGGACACAATAGCGCACCCTATGCCATGAGGTCTATAACCAAATGTTCATACAAAGTTCCAGCGCTATTTCCCGTGAGTCCTTTTCTTGCCCTTCTCCTTATCTCTTGCCTCCTTCATGCGCTCCTTCTCGGCCTCCTGCTTGGCGAGCTCATGCGCCTGGTCGTTGAGACCCAACCTATTGCGTGCAATCTGTCAAAGGTTTCAAAATATGATCACTCGGATATGGTTGATTTGCTCACCTCGAAGGCATAGAACTTCGCATGCCAGAGCTCATCAGTCCGCCAGAAGGATTGTTTTCACCGATATGACATACCTGCATCCTCGTCACTAGAAAACAAGGGTCCCCTTGAGACGCAGATGGACAAAGACCGACGAAGCGTACGCACCGAAGATCGTGTTCTTCTCCCCATACTCCTCCCGTGCATCCGTCCGGATGAGTGACCCAAAATTGTAGTCCTTGACCGTTTTCTCGTACCTGAATCGCTCTCGTTAGGCGTTCGCGCATGGACGGCCAGGGAGAACGCACGCTTGGATGAATTTTCGCCACCGTTCCTTGCCATCCTTGCTCTTCATCCAGTCCTCATCAAGCTTGGTGACCTTCTCGTGGTCGTTCTCTGCGAGCTCCGGGAAGTCCCGCATTGTGTGCTCAAAGATGTCATCGTCTAGCCTGTTGTGCCCAACAGTCACATCAAACGCCGGCAATATGGACGCAGAGGCTCACTTTGTGAGCTTTAGATTGCGGGGAGGGACCTTCTCGAGGAGATTCCAGTAGGTCTGTAGGGGAGGTTAGCACCCGCCGCTGGTCACCGACGATTGCCTGCAACCTGGTACGTACTTGTGCATGCTCAACCGCTTTAACCGCAAATCTATGGAAGACATGAATTCGAATTCGGCCAATGGCAAAGACACGAATGTATAACGCACTGCTTTTCGATCTACTTTCGTAAGGTTGAATGCCGTAGTCAGACCCGTTTGAACGGTGCACGCACCTCGATCGCATTCTGAGCATTATTAGGGTCGAATTTGGTCGTCATTTGGAGGTGCAGAGGACCGACTGCAGCTCACTAGAAAAGACTGTGGATGTAAGGAATAGGGAAAGAGGTGAAGTGAGGGAAAGGGCAAGCTGATCCGGAAGTAAGATGACCTGCGCCTATGTCCGATCATAGGATCACACTAATATTGGTCGACGATCGGCTGAGAACATACATGTGCAAAAATATGCAGAAATCCAGCAGGCGCAATATGGCCAAGTGTTCCAAAATCGCTACAACAATTATATGGACAAAGTATAGGTTTGAATATAACACCTTTCGTCTAAGCTGTACTTTTTCCACCGCCGATCTCCACCCCGAACCTCTTCAATTTCTCGAAGTACTTTTGGACGCGACTAGCAACCTGCCTCGGTGTCCGGCGGCCGTTCATGGCTTTCGATATTTTCGCCCAACTGAGAGAAGGAGTTAGTCAGCAGGCTATCTATCAGCAAGCCCTGGGATCAAGCGTGAGGACATACCGGTTCTTTTCACCCTCGGGGATCTCTTCAAGCAGCCGCTCTAGGAGGTGCTGCTCGGAGACCGACCACGCCTGCTTGTACGTCTCAGACTTCGCCTTACCTTTATGTTTCGAATCCTGCGCCGGTTCGTCTTCCGGTACGACCTCCCTTATTGCGGGGGTGTCCTTTTCCTCCGCTTTGGCTTCCATCTTCGCGAAGGAACCTCGGCCTCTGTTTCTTTGCGTACTGTCGGAGAGGGCACTGGTAGACCCACGTGCCTGTGCTTTTCTCAGTACTCGGCGCTCACGAACGGCGCTCTTGGGTGGCAATGGGTCAACAGGAGGAAGTCCGGTGTAAAAGGAGGCGGGGGATTCTACAGACGTCGCCGGAGTGTCCACGTCCATAGGCACGACCTCCGATTCTGATCTAGCAGTCGACACGCCGTCGTCGCGCCCATCGTCGAGAGAAATGTCGACCTCCGCGCTCTCATCCGCCTGGTCCAGCCGGACGAACACGCCGTCAGATAGCGGCCTACGCAGCCCAGCAAACACGGGGACAAGTGCAGCGCTATTGATTTTGCGCTTTTTCAGCTCACGTATCTTGTCGCGCTCGAGAGCGCGACGAATTTCCTCTGGATCTGGAGGCTCCTCCTCGGCATCTGACAGGGGCTCGTTCAGGAAGCTGAAGGATTGGAGTACCGGGTCGACGAGCTGAGAGCGTGCCTCTTTCACCAGCTTTTGCAGCTCTGATAGCTCGGAACTTTGAGTGCGTGACGGCTGTGCTTGCCCTGCATGAGTGTGCCGTAGCGATGCCCCGAGTTCGCGCAGAGATGCTGGATCTGGAGGGTATAAGAATCAAAAGGAGACAGAAAAGAGAAGTTCAATACCAGACGATCTAAAGAGGGACCATTCTATGTCCCTGTGCAATGTATTTACCAGGCCTGGCTGCTCGCTTAGCTGAAGACCGTGTTCTGCAACCTGGGCACTATTACTTAGCATAGGGATGCCACAATTGATGCAGCATTGCACCAACCCGCTTGACAACAGTCTCTAACTCAGCGTCTTCATTGCATATGGCTTCGCCTCTTAATTCTCGCAGCCTGTCGATGTCACGCTCCGTGCGGCTTAGCAGCGCTTTTTGCGACTGTATAAACGTCGAGAGCGCCTCCAGGCTGGTTTGATTGTCAGCATGGCTCCAGTTTATTATTCACGCAGCATAACATACGTCTTGGCGCGTTTATGTTCCATAGAATGTCAGACATCGACCGCTGGATTGCGAGGAGTTGGTAAACAAGGTTCAGGCAAAGTTGGAAAACAGCGCCCAGCAGCAGCACGGGATCAAACCGTTTCGCTCCCATCACCGACCATCACAACTTGTACTCCTACGTTCACGACCCAACGACGACCACGATGAGTGCGTCCGTGTCGAGCCTCGAGCCGCTCTTCACGTTTGTGTCGAATTCATACTCGAATATCGAGACAAGCTTCTTCAAGATCCCCGGCTCGGCCGTCATCGCGCGTTATGTCAAGTCCTCGCATCGAGACGACCCGGGGCGGACCCTGCTCGAGGTCATTCTCATCATCTTTGCCATTCGGACGCTGCTGCAGTCGCGCACGAAGGCTGAGCCGTCTGGGAAGCACTTCATAGAGTTTAGCGAGAAGGTATGTGACCGCGCGATTCGCGCACGTTCGATGCTGACCGCGAGCTGGCAGGAAATTGACGAGTTGGTGGACGAATGGACACCCGAAGAACTGGCGCAGCCTCTCACCGCGGTAGAGCAGTCTGACCTCAATGCTGTGCCCGTCATTGCTGGGCCGGTAGGACCTAAACCTAAGCTCACCAATGGCAAGACTGTCCTGAACCTCGCGAGCTACAACTTCGCTGGCTTGGCCGGAAATGCAGAAATCAAAGAGCGCTGTATCGACATACTGAAAAAGTATGGTCTTGGCAGTTGTGGCCCTCCCGGTTTCTACGGCACTCAGGGTGTGTGGTTCTATCGTCCGGTCGCTCGTCTGCGAGGAGTCAGGCTCACATATCTGTAGACGTCCATATCCAGCTGGAGCAAGACATCGCTGACTTCCTGGGTACGGAGGCTGCGATCATTTACTCGCAGGCGTTCTCGACCATCAGCTCCGTGATCCCAGCCTTCTGCAAGCGTGGCGACGTGATTGTTGCCGACCGCGGCGTGAACTTTGCCATTCAGAAGGGTTTACAGATCTCCCGGTGCACCATTCGCTGGTACGATCACAGTGACATGGCAAGCCTTGAGAAAGTGCTTGAGAGCGTAGAGAAGGAGCGCCGGAAGAAAAAGATGCCCCTCACACGGCGGTTCATTGTCACGGAGGGCATTTTTGATCACGATGGTGCCATGTCTGACCTGCCGAAGCTGGTGGAACTTAAGCTTAAGTACAAATACCGACTGATCCTCGACGAGAGCGTGTCGTTTGGCAGCGTCGGTCGCACTGGGCGCGGCCTGACTGAGTTGTACAACGTACCGGTATGTGACTTCCCGACTGCATATGACCATTGTGGCGAACTGATGTGGCTTGCAGGCCTCTCAAGTGGACATGCTAGTAGGATCTATGGCAAACGGGCTCACATCTGCTGGTGGTTTCTGCGCAGGCTCGCACACCGTGGTCAAGCATCAGGTGTGTTCATGCGATTCTGTACTCTGCACTGTCGTTCTGACCGCACCCGCCAGCGCATCAATGCGCCCTCAGTTGTATTCTCCGCTGCCCTCCCCGCGCTGCTGGCTGCCGCTGCGTCCGAGGGCATCAACATCATGCGCAACACGCCGTCCATCTTGAGCATGCTGCAGGAGAACGTCCGTGCCGTACGCGCCATCCTCGACAAGGTAGACTGTATCGCCATACCGTCGCACCCCGCCAGTGCAATCATTCACATCAATGTGCGCTCCTCGTCGACTGTCATGCCGATAGCACCCATGTCGCCTACGTCGCCCATTTCACCTGCGTCGCCCATGTCGCCGCTGTCCCCGTCTACCGCGAAGCTGTCAAACCCAGTGTCAGTACGCCAACGCGGCGCGCCGCACTTCGATATGGAGGCAGAGGAGCGACTACTGCAAGAGGTCGTCGAGGATACGCTCGCGCAGGGTGTGATGGTGACGCGCGCCAAACGGCTGCACGGACAGGAGATGATCGAAGTACGCCCGAGCATCCGGCTTGCGATCAGTGCAGCGATGTCGCGCAAGGATTGTGAGAAGGCGGCGAATGTGCTCAAAGCATCCTGCATCAAGGTACTGAGCAAGCGCCGGTAAGATTTAGTCCAGGCTGTAATCTGTGTTATTTCTGTTCTGGGGCGGTGATGGCATAGCCATTGCTTATTGTTATACCCTCATAATGTTTGTGTAATAGACTTGATGTCATTTTTGACCACTCGTAATGCTGAAATGATCGGTGACGAAATCTGACACCCCGTCCCTCCAAATTCGCGTGTTGGTATATGCTGTGGTAAACATACCAACGACCGTGAAATCACAGGTAGGTAATAATTCTATCTATCGTTTTCTAACGTACATTTGCAGACCTCCCCGTCGTTTCGATGATGGTCATCAAATATGGCCGGTAGTGTGTACTGGTGCGCAGAGCGTGGTTAACGTGACACCACTATCATTTCTTCAAGTTGGTGGAAGCACAGTACGCTCTAGGAAACAAGTCGTCCACAAGTTTGGACCCGCCATGCCGCAGCAAACAGGACGAGACGAGCGTTTGTCATGCCGACATGATACGGGGAGATAGGGCAATATTGCCAAGAAGTCATTCACAGATGGTTCATGAACATATAAATACGTATTCCTAGCACCAGCACCCAAGCACACAGAAAAACGGCGCTCTCAATCTCAAAGGCTCTGACAGAACGTCTTCCCCCTTGCCACCTGTGCCCGACACAGGCCCACCTCGGTCGGCATCGACACGAGCGACGCGAGCAGGATGCCCGTGCCGTCCGCCAGCCCGACCGCGCCGATCTTGAACTCGCGCTCCTGCTTCGCGCGCTCCGCGTCCACCCCGAGCGACGCCTGCTCCTGGTTCACGCGGTGATACACGTTGACGCTGCCAGAAGAAGAAAGCGCTTCCATCAGCAAGCTCTACACACCGCAGGGTCTCCCGCCCACAGTGCAGGGGCGGGACCGCAGCAGATCAAATAAGAGTTCAGTACGCACTACGCGAGCCCGCCGCATATGCCCTCCACGGCAATGAGCGCGAACACGAGCGCAAAGCTCGCGCCCTCGCGCGCGCCGCCGAGTATCCCCGCCGCGGACTCCAGCGCGAGCGTGCCGAGCACGGCCGCCTGGACGAGTGCGGGCAACGGAAGGAGGCGCGCGGGGAGCGCGGGCAGCCCGAGCGAGATGGTCGAGCGCGAGAGGAAGACGGTCGTTTGGTAGACGAGCTGTGGGTGTAGGGATAGGGGATGGGGGACGAGGACGAGGACGGGGACACGAGTGCGTGAGTACAATTTGAGAAAGGAGGTAGAGAGAAGATGGAGACGCACCTGCCAGAGAGGGTAGTAGTCGCGGATCGAGTGGATGATCTTGCTCATGAGCCAATGCTCATCTGGCGAGGGTACGGGATATATGAGGGTCGGTGCGATGCCCTGCGCCTGGATCAGCACTACAAGAGGCACCCAGGATACTGCGACGCCTACCTGGTTAATCGTGTACTCGAACTGGGACGCCGGCTGAGCTCGCCCACCGAGGGGAGCATAGTGACGCACTCACCAGATACACGCAGACTGCGCGGCATGCAATCAGCGAACACAGCGCGCCGAAAGTGACGGGACGTATGACTGACACAAGGGCAGCATGTACTTCGGCAGCAGCGGCTTCACCAGGCGCCACTTGTCGCCCGCCGAGAGCGCAACGCCGTTCTTCGTGTCGCCCGCTTCTGGCAGCGCATGCAAGGGCTCGTCGGCCTCCGCCTCCTCACCGTCGCCGGTCGGGAGCGCGATGTACGGGACGGCTGGCACGGCGGCCTCGTCGCCGACCGATGGGATGTCGGCCTCGTTGAACGCGGCGGGGCGCGGGAGGAGGAGGAAGTACGTCGCAGGGATGACCAGAGGGAGCATCTGCGCGGCTGTGAGCGGTCGCTGCGCGGAGCGGCGATTGGGACGACGCACCGAGGACAGGCCAACGCCCGTGCGCACGCCGAGGGCGCGTAGCTCCCACCAGAGCAGCGCGCCGACAAGTCCCGCCGCGCCGGTGCCCGAGGCGAAATACCTACGTGTGGTCATAGGATGAGACGGCAGAGGTAGAGACGGGAAAACGTGTGACGGACCCGACGCTGTGGCCTGCGATGGAGGGCGGGCGGTATCGTGTGGAGAGCTGGAGGAAGGTGAGCTCGCCGAGGCCTGTTGTCATTAGACCCCGTCACTTGCGAGAGACAGCGTGGTGTACATACCGGAGGAGAAGGACGCAAAGGTGATGCCGAGGAGGCGCATGTACAGGCTTTCGAAGGCGGCGACGACCTTCGGAATTCATAGCAGATAGATACACGGGTTATATGTGGGGAGACTCACAATCACGCCGGACACTGTCATCGCGCTGCACACCACCAGTCGCCGCCCGTAGCGGATCCGACCCTTGAGGATGTACGGCCAGCCAAACTTGGCAATGAGGGAGGGCGTGATGTTGCAGAAGGCGATGATGCCCTTCGGGGTGGAGGGGGGCACAAGGTCGAGTGCGGCGGAGAGGATGATAACGTAGAGCACTACGAAGCGCCAGAGTAAAGGTGAGCACTAGTACTGGGTAGCGCGATTAGCGTATGCGCACCATTGTTTATGAGCCCGAAGAGAAAGAAGGAGAGGCCAAGCCGGAAAAGCATTTTTCTTGCATCTGTATGTTGAGAGTAAGTATACGCCTCAGGGACGGGTGCTCATCGTGTACAGCCATGCGTTCCAAGTCCCCAAATGAGGAAGTCGATACCTCAATGCATTTCCTGCTGATGCGGCTATGTGCCATCCCATTGACCTCAAACACCAGACTGCAGCTCACCTGGGCGAGGCCTGTCAGAAGTGTTCCCGGGTAGTAGTAGTAACTGCTCCTCTTCCTCACTGGTGTGTGTGTCACCCGGGGCATTGGTATTCATCGCTGCTTGGTGGTGTGGTGGGTACGAGTGATATATACTAAAGTTTGAGTGCTCTGGTTCCCCAGCCGCGTCCGCGAGCATTCAAAGAGTAAGCACGTATTATAAGCACAGCGAGCTAGAGAAGCAGACTACAACTACAAGGTACGCACGATCGAGATCAGATCTTGGCCTTTAATTGCCGCGAGCTATAACCCCGCCACGTGATTCCTTCTCTTCCCTCTGAATGTCGCGAGAATATTCAGTTCCAATGGTCGTATGCAGCTATCCGTGTTCAAGATGTGTTCCAATCAGCCAGCCACTATCTCGAATGCTACCTGCTGCAAATAGCTGTAGGTGACGACTCGACAGCGCCTACCTGGGAATATCGCCAGGCAGGGTCCTGTCGTCGACTTGTTCAAGCCGAGCAACGCGCTTCTGCAGCGCTATCGGGACGCTGTTGACCCGGACACAGGTGCTCAAAAAATGTTGAGAGAAATGGAATATTTAGTATTTCTGAACCTATGTACAGCCTTGTAACAGTGGTACAATCGTGCGCGCGAATTGTTCGCGAATTGTGCCTTCTTGTTGCGATTTTTAGATGTTAGATCCCATCTACCCCCCAAATCGACCGGAATCGGTACGGGTCAAGGCTATGTGAATTTCCCCGGAATCTGACCATGGGCTGACCTCCGAAAAGGGGTCTGCAAGGGATCAGAGCTCTTGGGGGATTAGCTGGAATCCTGAGCCGCTCTCTATGTTCCTTGCACATTTGACAGAGTTGAGACAAATACGATATATTTTTGTCGATGGTCCTCGCTCTCAGTCTCAGACGAACTTCGAAGCATAATTGGGCATGGTTCTCGTATGAATCACCACGAGAACAGACAAAGCCCTGTGCTTCAAGCACCTCAGAATATAATCAAGTACACCGGCCTGATCGCATCGTTCGCGTAAACGATCGTCTCGTTCAGCTGGCCGTTCATCCTATCAAAGACGACCTGCCATCATGCCACAGAGCCACGCAGTGAGCACCTCATACGCCACTCACAGAGTCAGATAGACGTACGGAATCGTAGCCCGAAGGAAGGGCTATGACCTGTTTGAAGGCAGTCGCATTCTAGCGGCGGCCGAGAACGACTTTATTGAGGAGCATGACGCCGCTGCCGTTCGCGGTGTAACTGTATGACCTGTACCCAGACCATTTATGAGGATCGACGGCGGCAATATAAAGCTATGTACAAACTTGTTCGATGCGGAGGACGTGTATATACCAGCTCCGAAGCTGTCCGAAAGGGGAAGAGAGGTCCGAGTAAGCAATGTCATATACACGATGATGAACTTGATCAGGACATACGCGCCGCTCGGATTTGCAAGCTCCACGCTGAACGACGTCCTCAGGATATTACACACTGCGCATTCGGGAAGGTTGCAGAGGGTCGTCTGGCCCGTGTTTCCCAGCTGACACAGGCGCGTCGTCCCATGATAGCGGAAGCATTCATTGCCAATTCTCTTCCTACACCAGTGTCAGGAGGATACTAGATGCACCCCGGAAGGTTTCATGGAGTGGCATCAGCACGCACCGGTAAGTATTGTATGGGTTAAGGAACATCGCGCTCTCAACGATCTTGTAGATGTGCCTTATTGTTGGTTTGATGATCTTGTTGGGTGGCCTCCAGGACTTGTTGAACTTCGTCTCAACTATGTGATAGAAATTGAAAGGATCAAGACATCACTTCACCCACGTTATTCGCGCGCACTAGACGGAAGTGCGCACCCTGTTTCCATGTGACATGACCCTGGGGAATTTCCATAATCTTCGGCGTCGTCGTCATGGCCAGATCCCTGCATGTCCGCCCGCAGAAGTGATAATTCCTGAGTTTCGGGCGGCAGCGGCACATCAAGCAGGCGACGCGTGAGCTGTTGCGGCACCTCCGCCCGCACTGATTGTGGGGGTTCAGCCTCGGCCGACGGTGGCAGTACTACCATTGGATTAACGAAATACGCCAGGGAGATGTCGCATACTGGATTCTCACGTTGCATTTCGTGGGGTCGCCTCCGCCAGAACACAGAGTGGTGAGGCACGTCATACCACAGGTAAGATACACGGTAGAGCCCCTACGATAACATGGGCGCCATTGACATATCTAACCAGGCCATGGGAAACGCCGTCAGTCCTGCATAATCGTACATCGGAGATCCCTGACACTCACGACGCAGGTGTCAGGAAGATTAGAACCCGTTAATCCCATTGTGTAGCACTTGAGAAAAATGAATGGGTAGAAATCTGCAAAAAAAGGCCGTTATTTATACTCGGAGCTAAGCGGCAAATCATAGGGTTTCATGCTTGCTACTAGACGTTCTCACCAGGATATGTACTTGATGTTCTCAGATATGGACGTAGGTTACTGAACGGTGTTTCCAAAGAAGAGTTGTGACGGGGAGATATAATCCCTGGCTGAGAAAATGGAGGAAGCCGTCCCGCAGCGAGTTGAGATGACATGGCAAGAAGCGAATGTAGACAGTCATGTGTATAGGACGGTAACATAATATCAGACACGCACCTTCTTGAGCTTGCTTCCTCCTGATATCATTGGCGCCCCTCTGGCATGAAAGCCGGCGCCGGCCTCCTCGTGGCCCAGAGGGTGAGTACCCCTACGTGAGGGGGAAACAAACGGGCGCAGACATTACATGATAGTCGAGAGGTTGGCTACGAGAGTCAACCCCAAGAACACCAGAGTGATTACGCGAGGCAACGACGAACAGAACTTGCACCAAAGCTCGAGCAATCTCGCCATACGGCAACCACACCCCTCCAACTCAAATGGACCAGTGTGGAGAGTACGCTACTACACCCCACCCCTTCCACAAGCCGATCAGGGTTGCCCTGTGTAGAAACGAACGTCGGCGTCGGGTTCGAGTGAGCGAGCGCGAGGGTATACGGAAGCGAGCGTCGCGGGAGAAGATCAATTTACGAAGCGGTTTGTCTCGTCCTCGGGGCGGGGAGGCAAACGCGCGAGGAAACTACATGCGGGAACTCGACCTAATATAGCAAAACCTTATCTAAATAAGGTACGAAGGAACAAGGCACTATCGCGCCGCAGCGCGGCACGTCGGCGAGCCGGTAGTCGGGCATGTGCTCGCCAGGTTGTTCCTACACCCTGACTACAACGCGAATCACTCATGACCGCGACCAGACCACCCGAAGGGTCGAACAAATGAGATCATGGTCGATTGGTCGGATTCAATTGCCGCCCAATTTCATCAATCTCTTTGATAATGATATTCGTTTCTTATCTCGGCCAGTCAGGTGCTTGCTGTGCCACACCCAGCTGGAGCCCTCTGGCTTTGTCCGATATTTGTGTGATACAAACAAAGATTAATACACTTGGTTGCTAATGGTGGCTCCACTTGCTGGGTCCAAATGGCCCCAGCCATGGTTATTGTTATTTGTTTGCTCACATTTTGCATGTTGCCCACAAGATGGTGTAAATATATGCAAACTCAACATAAATCAACAGAAGACCTAGTTATTGGTGACCACCACTAAGAGGCCTTCAGTCATTGTCATGAGTTGGTATGGCGTCTAGCCGTTTTTTAATTTTTCCTTTTCGCGGGCTCGAACCCGCGACCGCTGTACTACATACCCGATATGGACTCATCACTATCTACTGTACAATTAGATTAGATGGGCGGCAGTGCACAGCACAGCTCGGGCTCCGCTGACACAGCCTCTCTGACTCACCGGCCCCTGGGGCTGCATCAGCATGCTGCGCATGGACCAGCTTGCACGGACCAGTGCGTACAGCCTCCCCTAAACTTCCCCTGTATATAAACCTGCCTCTGCTGCCCTAGGGACCTCAGTTTTGACCTCTTGTCCCTAGGTCAGTAAGCCCCTGTACTTACTTACCTTTCAAATACTAACTAACTTGTCCCTAGCCTTAGGTTTGAGCTTCACTCACCATCGCTTCGATGAGAATTAGTCAGACGCCCCCAGTTTTAGGTTTTCCCCAGTCGCTTGACCCCAAGTCATTGTGATATACACATATACTGGTGCCACAGTGTACTGTGTGACTGCTTTGTGAATATTCATGCAGGAGATGATGTTGAAATCAGGATGTGTCGCGACTTGAGGTCAAGCGACAGGGGAAAACCTAAATGCTGGGGGCGTTCAACTGGATCTCACCGAAGCGATGGTGAGCGAAGCTCAAACCTAAGGCTAGGGACAAGAAAATGTATTAGTTAGTATAAGTAAGAAAGTGCTACAAAGGGATGCTTACTGACCTAGGGACAAGAGGTCGAAACTGAGGTCCCTAGGGCAGCAGAGGCCGGCTTATATACAGGGGAAGTTTAGGGGAGGCTGTGCGCGCTGGTCCGTGCGCAGCTGGTCCATGCGCAGCATGCTGACGCGGCCCCGGGGGCCGGTGAGTCAGAGAGGCTGTGTCAGCGGGGCCCGAGCTGTGCCGCGCACTGCTGTCCTATCTAATCTGATCGTACAGTAGATAACGAAGTGTCCATATCAGGCAGGTAGTACAGAGGTTGCGGGTTTGAGCCCGCGAAAAGGAAAAAATTAAAAAACGGCTAGGTGCCGTACCAACTCGTGACAGGATGTGTGTATGCTGTACCTGTGAGAATAATGCTGGAAAGACTGCTGGTAGACAATGTCCTCGATGGACAGGGATCGATGGTGGATAAGGTTACAAACTGATGGGGCTACCTATAGTGCACAACACCTACATAAGTCCTATTCCCACACTGGCATATGACCACCCGGGCTGGCAGCAATGCTTACCCAATGTACCCAAAAGTCAACAGTACCTCTTGCCAAAAGCATTAGCAACAAATGATTTAGTTTCATGATGACTGTCGCGACTTGGGGTCAAGCGACTGGGGAAAATCTAAACTGGGGGCGTCCGACTATTTCTTACCGAAGTGATGGTGAGCGAAGCTCAAACCTAAGGCTAGGGACAAGTTAGTTAGTATTTGAAAGGTAAGTAAGTACAGGGGCTTACTGACCTAGGGACAAGAGGTCGAAACTGAGGTCCCTAGGGCAGCAGAGGCAGGTTTATATACAGGGGAAGTTTAGGGGAGGCTGTACGCACTGGTTCGTGCACAGCTGGTCCATGCGCAGCATGCTGACGCAGCCCCAGGGGCCGGTGAGTCAGAGAGGCTGTGTCAGCGGAGCCCGAGCTGTGCTGCGCACTGCCGCCCATCTAATCTAATTGTACAGTAGATAGTGATGAGTCCATATCGGGTATGTAGTACAGCAGTCGTGGGTTTGAGCCCGCGAAAAGGAAAAAATTAAAAAATGGCTAGATGCTGTGCCAACTTGTGATGTTACCCCCCCCTCAACGGCGCATGACCTCATGCGAGGCGCCCTTGCCCATCTCCCACCTGGAGCGGCAGCGTGCTTCAGTCAGCGGCGAAAGCATTGGCTGAAAGTTGAGATCACCAAATGTAGCAGCATTGAGTCGACGAGGGGCATTTGGATTCTTCCGGTGGAAGTCGGCTATGAGGGCCAGTGCATTGGCAATGTTGCGCGCCGGTTCCCATAACATATGCGAGTCGTCATAACCCTTCCACTTGACGAGGTACTGCAGCTGACGCCGGAAGATCCGCGAATCCTTGATCCGCTCAACCTCGTATTCCTCGTCACCCTCAACCTCGATCGCAGGCAGCTCCTCCGGCTCTCAGCCCGGGATATCGCTACGCGTGTACTTGCTAAGCAAGGAGACATGGAACACCGGGTGTAGCGGCACCGACTTTGGCAGGACTAATTCATAATCCAAGTCTCCGAGCTTTCGCCGCACGGCATATGGTTCGAGGCACTTGGGACTGAGCTTCTTGCTCGGCTGTTTCAGCTTAAGGTTCTGAGCGTCAAGCCAGACCTTGTCCCCCGGTGCGAAGACCGGTGCCTCCTGCATGTGCTTGTCGTAGTACACTTTCATGCGCTCGGCTGACAGCTCGAGTGCAGAGTGTGTGTCGTTGCGAATTTCCTTCAGGATTTTAAGGCGGTCAGTGGCAGCGGGCATCGCGGACATCGGATTGATCCGAACCTGGATCTCAGGATTGTACCCCTGGTGCAGGAAGAAAGGGGAGTGCCCGGTCGCGGAGTGGACTTGATTGTTTAGTGCAAACTCTGCAAGCGGCAACTGCTTTGCCCAATCATCCTACCTATGGCTTGTGAAAGTGCGCAGGTACTGCTCGATCTCCTAATTCCAGCGCTCAGTCTGGCCGTCCGTCTGAGGGTGGAACACTGTGGACAGCGCCGGCTCAATCCCAAGTCCCTTGTACACCGCGTGGAGATATTTCGAAGCGAACTGGGGACCTCGGTCTGATATGACCTTGGCCGGGGCCCCATGATGCTTGAGCACATTGTGGATGTACAGGTCTGCTGCACCTTCTGCCATCAGGGTCTCATGACAGGCTGAGAAGTGGACCTGCTTTGTGAAGCAGTCAGCGATAACCAGGATCGAGTCGAATCCATCAGACTTTGGCAAGCCAACGATCATATCGGTCGTGATGATCTGCCACGGGCGCTCAGGGATCTCATTTGGCTTCAGCGGACCCTGAGGCTTGGCTGGGAATGTCTTGGTACGGTTGCACACGTCGCAGGTGCTTACGTACTCATTGACGAATTTGGACATCCCAGGCCACCAGTAATTCCGCGACACGAGCTCCAGGGTTTTGGCACGACCACCATGACCGGCGATCGGCGAGTCGTGGTGGATCTTGACGATATCCTGCCAGAGCTCCGCGTTCTTTGGGACGTACATGCACCCGTGGAACAGCAGAAGCTCGGCATTCCACTCCTCAAAACCCCTTTGCAGCCGGGGCGGCCTGAGGTCCTGCACTTTTTCAAGTGCCTCGGCCACCTCCCAATCCTTCTCCGAACATTCCCGAATGCGCTTCAGAAGCGACTGATCGGCTGTCACCAAGGCATGACCGCGTCTGGCGAAGGTGATGCGGAAGCGCTCCGGCTTGAGAACCACCTGATCAGTGTTATCGTCCTCATCGCCGATCTGATGGTCTGATCGATGCGACAGGGCATCAGCCTTTCCATTGGACGTCCCGGCTTTGTGCGTGATGCGAAAGTCAAAACGAGCCAGGAACAGTGACCATCGCACTTGACAGCGCGTGAGATGCTGGGATGTACGCCAGTACTCGAGGTTCTTATGATCGGTTACAATCTCGAACTGATTGGGTAGTCCTTCCAGATAGTGGCGCCAATCATCCAGTGCCTCAATGATCACAAGCATTTCCTTATCGTAGATCTCGTAGTTTCGCTGCGCTGGATCCATCGCATGGGACTGGAAGGCAACCGGATGCCATTTACCATTGTTCTGCTTCTGCATCAACACACCACCAGTGGCGTACCCTGAGGCATCGACTTCGATGCGCGTCTCCCGGTTAGGGTCGTATAGCGCCAAGACTGGAGTCGTCGCAAAGAGCCACTTAAGCTCATCGAAGGCGTGTTGCTCCTCTTCGCCCCAATGCCATGGGTCGTTCCCTGTGAGTTGGTCGAGTGGTTGTGAAATCTTAGCAAAGTCTTTGATGAAGCAGCAGTAGAAGTTGGAGAACTCCCGGAACTGGCGAACATCCTTTTTGTTTCGGGGTACCGGCCACTCATTGATTCCTTTTAGCTTCACGGGATCCATTGCTACCTCATCGCCACCGAACACATAGCCGACGTAGTCGACCTTGGGAACGTCCCATTCGCACTTCTCAGGCTTCAGGAATAGATCATTGTCCTGAAGGCAGTGTAGAACCTCACGTGTGACCTTCTCGTGCTCCTCTTTGTTGGTGGAAAAGATGAGTATATCGTCCAGGTACACAAGGATCTTGCCGCCAATGATGAGATCGTGGAAGATCTTGTTCATCATTGCCTGGAAGGTCGCGGGGGAGCTGGTGAGGCCAAAGAACATTGCTTCGGGTCGTGCACGTTCAATCAGATGGAATCGCGCTATTCGCAGCCAAAAATAGAGTTGTATGGCGTGTTCAGGGCGATTAAGGAGGTACGTCATAGGATATGGGGCTTACATTTCCGTTTGGAGGTAGACGCCAAGTATTTGAAACAAATGATATATGAATTTGCGTGTGTAAGAGTTCTCGTAAATTGGATCGACTCCTCCTTGTTACGCCCGTGGGATGGTCTTCTGTGTACGAGAGTTCTTCCAGCTCGTTGTTTCTCGCAAAATCGACGATTGCTGTTGTCGACGAAGTGAACAGAAAGCTAGGCAAGCCGGGAGGGAATCGGTCGCGCCAGTCACTTGATAACCCTGACATCATGACTTGATGGTCGTTCCTGTAATAGAAAAGCTTTAACCGACTAGCGGCGACCGCCTCTTTCAGCACAACTCCATCCAACTCTCGTATCGCATACGACCCCGACGGGTGTCGCTCCTGAATCATGTACGGACCAGCCCATCGAAGAGCTCCCTTATTTCCATGCTGATTGTCCAACCAGGTCTCATGCACGAGCACCCACATCCCAGGCTCGAAAGCTTCGGTCATTGACCGCGCATGCTTCTTGTTATAATCGTCTGCGGATTGTCGTCGAGACTTTATGAGATGTTTGACCGCGTCTTCGACCAGCTCGTCCTTGCGAGCGATCTGCTGCAACCGCATCGTGAGTAAATCTTCTGTCGTTCGCACCTTGTCCCACTCCAGAATGGACCAAGTCCTATCTGTCAGATCAAAAGGAAACAGACATTGTTTGCCATATAGCAAGAAATAGGGTGTGTACCCTGTGGCTCTCGACGTCGTTGTCCTCACCGCCAATAGCCCTGCTTCAAGGAACAGCGGCCAATCCTTCGTCCGCTTGCCACAAGATCGCATGACCGCCCGCATTAAGGTTTGACCATCCCGCTCTGCGATCCCATTGCCCTCTGGATGATACGGTGAGCTCAATATAACGGATACGCCATGCCTCAACAAAATCGTGCGCGCCGCTCCCTTAAACTCTGGTCCTCCGTCACACACAAACACTGGAATGCATCCGAACCGGC